CTCCTTGATAAAGCATTCGTTCCTTCTGGGTTAATCAAGAAAAGAAAAAGACAAATAAAAGCATTTCACTGGCTGTAAAACTGATGAAACACGTAACGGAAAATACTGCCCAAAATAATGTTATTTTAAAAGGAGTATTTTACCTTTTGTGTAAATACGAAAAAACTCCTCTGTTCAGTATCTTGTCAAAACAGGGTAGATTATTACGATGTTTTGTGTATGACGTTACTAATTTGTCTTCTATTCATGTATCAGTCATGCTTGTCTGTCATAATTCCCCCATGTAGCCGATGATAATAATAATAATAAAAATAATACGTGACCTGATGGGCAACACTCAGAACTCTTGGCCAGCGAGCACCACCTCGTATGAAAACATCTTCAAGAGCATCTGGTTTGTCAAGGCGGAACAGAACACTAGGCAACTTGTAATTTTTTCTTCAAAGTCTTTATATTTGTGGATCGAAGGTGGTGGAGATCCCTGGCGCGGTGACAAAACTTGAGACACACTTCACAATAACAGCTATTTTCTTGCGTGTTGCCCTGAGTGTCTTGAGATGCGGTGGTAGGAGGGACGAGGGGATTACGTCATGAAAGTCTCTCTCTCTCTCTCTCCGGCTCACGGTCGACCCAGATCTCTCAACCACTACCACTACCACCCTCCTTCAGTACCTCCTCTTCCTCTTCTTCATCCTCCTCCTCCTCCTCCTCTTCATTCTTTTCCTTCACTTCCTCCTACATCACCATCGTCATCTCGATCATATTCACTAGTACCGTCTTCTCCCCAACCTTCATTTCCCTCAAGTTCCGTTTCCATCTCTTCCACCGCTGTTTCCTTCACCACCTCCTCCTCCTCCTCCTTCATCACTTCCGGCTTCCCTCTTACCATCTTTAAGATCACACACACACACACCTCCTGCTTCATCGTCTCCTTCACTTCCTTCCTCTTACACTCTCCTTCACTATCACCCCCACTTATTCTACCTAGTCAAATCCTTTCTTTCTCTTGCTTCCTCTCTTTCTTCATTTCCTAATTCGACACACAATCTCTTTTCATTATCACCACCATCATCATTCCTTCATATTTATTCGTCTCTTCTCCCGTCCTTCTCTTTTTCATCTCCCCTCATCCCCTCTCCTTCTTTCCTCCTGTTTCCCGATCTCTGTCTTTCATCCCATTCCTCTTTCTCTACCTTTCCTCCCATCCCCCTTTCCTTCTCTCCCCCTGTCCCCCTCTGTCTTCCTCCCATCCGTCTTTTCTCTCACTCTCCTCCCGGCCCCTCTCTCTCTCTTAACTCTCCTCCTGTCCCTTCCTTCTCCCTCTCTCTCTCCGTCCTTTTTCCCCTCTCTTCCTCCCGTCCCTCCTCTGAAGCACTGGCCCCACCACCACCTTGTCCTGACTCAGCATCCTGCAACAAGATCTGAGGAGTTCTTTCCCTCACTTCCAACACCTTGAGGAGTAGAGAGAGAGAGAGAGAGAGAGAGAGAGAGAGAGAGAGAGAGAGAGAGAGAGAGAGAGACCCTCTAAACATGAGAATTTTATTTTCTTGGATAACTTTTTTCTCCAGATAAAGAATTTATTTTTCGATTTCTTATTTTAGCTATTGTTTTTGTCTTCATTGTTTATAATAGATTCTGTTTAAACTTTCGTTGTTGAAGGCCACAGTATGCCCCCAGGAGATAGTAGGGAATTTACGTCTATAATATTTCCTTTCATTCATTATAGGTCAAGATTCTACTTATTGCTTTTATATCTCAAGGAAACAATTCGGTAGTTTAAGCTTTCACCGTTTTTTGTTTTGTTATACGTAAATGTTGTTCGATAATGAGGAGTTTACTTTCATATCAGCGACAGACAGAAAGAAAAACAGAGAGACATAAAGTTAGACAGAGAAACAGAGAGACAAAGTTAGACAGAGAAACAGAGATAGAAAGACCAACAAAAGCGCCAGACACAAATGAGGCTCCACACATTATTCTTCCGAACCTTTGATGATTTTTTTTAATATTTATGATTATCTATCCAGTACATATGTTCCACGACCATTTCTGGCTCGAATAACCCCACATTACGGGTCCTGCCTTATCTCTGGTCTTGGGGGTCTGTTTTAGTGAATCTTTCGCGTGAACTTGAGAGAGAGAGAGAGAGAGAGAGAGCGAGAGAGGAGGAGGCGGGTGGCGTCTTCAAGATATGAATAAGGGTCTTGTCTCAAAGGTCCCCAGAAGACAAGACGCTTTATTGAATTTAAAGTGCCTCTTTACCGCCAAGACTTCACTAGGTCTTTGAGGTGGTGATCGTGAGAGTCGCGGCTGTGGTGGGGGGAATATTTCGCCTGTCGAACACCCCAGATAATATTAAATTTCCCTCTGCCGGGGATGTGTGTGCAAGATAGTATAAAAAAAAGATAAAGTCGAATATCGATCATTCTTTAAAAGAAAGTTAGGTGACTGATAGATAAGAAACTGAAGAATAGGATAAATTAAAACAAGAGAACGAAAAAAAGACACTAGGCAGAAGAATACTGAAGAAAGTGATCGATTTAGTGAATATCTTTCCTCCTAAGACACGTATCTCACTCTGGGTTTTAGGAAAGATCAATAAATTATAGTACACTCACATAATTCCTATCTTCTTTGCTGAGCTTCTAGTCTCAGTGTTGAATATTAGTAAACAGATGTCTATAAATTGATACAGAAAATTATACGCAAAAATAAGGTAACGGTGAAGAAGGCCCACATGGCAACAGGTTTTGGTAATGGGACACAGAAAGGCCACAAATCTGACCTTAATTTGCGGATTTCCGGCGAAAGCAAAACACAGCCATCGGTTTCCCATTAGTGTTATCGCCGTCCTCGTACGCCGCGACCTCTGACTCCCATGTGGCCACGCGGCCTGTGGCCTCGCCGGATGTTTTTAACGTCACAGTCATAGAACAAGCGTTTCGTTGTTATAACCACAGATAGGGGCTCGGGACACCTCTGGCACACAGTATCGTCTAACCTCACCAGAGTGTACACACAGTAGCTATAACCAGGAGTTACTTGGAGCGATACTAGGGTTAAGTGGAGCTACAAGCCCCAACAAGTGAGTGAAAGAACACAGTGATTGTTTGTATGACGGTGAAATGTTGTCAACTACATACGTGCATAGTGTAAGGCAATTTGGATAATAACCATACAGAATAGTGTATTTACTAACTGACGTATAATGTATGCATGTATACACTTCTCCAGGTTTTGATCATATCAATCGATAAACGTTGCGGGTTTCTCTCACCCTTAAGACATAACGTCATCTAACTGTCGAACCATTCGGCAGTTAAAGTCGGTGTTGGGGGCTGTTGTTGTTCATCAATGGTCCTTTTTCGAGGTCTGGCGGGGTCTTCCACACGACCATTAGGTGCAATCTGGGGCTGGAGAGCTGCACTGATGGTCCTCGTGTTTGTTGTGACGGCAGGGAAGTGTTGTGAGGAGTGTTGTTCTGTGCCCTACTTGTCATCACCAAATATGTCTTAAGTGTTGATTTCGTTTATCCTCACCAAGTGTGTCTGAATGTTGATCTCTTCTGTTCGCTGAGATCTACAGGTGTGATTGTGAGAACTTAGTTGAGATAATTACGATGGACCAATCGGCGAAAAGAACAGCTGAAGATTAAAGTGGGCATGTTAGCAGAAAACACACACACACACACACACACACACACACACACACACGGCGAAAACCATGAAAAACAAAGATTCAAGTAGTTATCCTTAAACTCTGTTGGAAAGGCCTACCGAAAATACGCAAGCCGACACATACTGGCTAACATGCTGATATAAACACCAACGCCCACTGGCAGAACAACAAGCTGCTGATAATCACTGGTTGACAACACGCTAATAACAAGCTGATAATAAACACTGGTTGACAGCAAGCTAATAACAAGCTGATAATAAACACTGGTTGACAGCAAGCTAATAACAAGCTGATATAAACACTGATTCACATTGGCTGACAACAGATTGACACAAGTACCCTGGCACACAGTAGGTGGAGATAGGCAGAAACAATGACGCCCTCACATAGTGGCTCACAGACATTTACTCCCGACAATAGCCCGCCTCACTCCTTAGTAATGAGCTTCTGGGGAAACAAAACAGTGCCCGTGGAAAATGCATCCCACTATTACACACACACACACACACACACACACACACACACACAGGGAGAGAGAGAGAGAGGTGGAAGGAATTCTATTAATGTTTTTCACAGTTAAAACTTCAGGCGAGTCACAACATCACTTCTTTTAATGATCTGTAGATGATTCTTTCTGTAAATGTAGCATAACCATTGACATTCTATTTAGTAATAAATGGAAATATGTTTATAATGAATCACAACAAGAATTTATATGACGAAGATCAATGGATTCCTCAGATGGGTTCATATTATATTCTGTTCTAACTCGATGTAGTTTCAAGTTTCACCGACACTCGCTCTGTCATTAAAGTCTTGTGTAGTGTGAGTCTTATACTCTGTTTCAGTTTTACGTGAAGGAGAAAAGTTAACAGATATTGTTTAATGAATGGTGATAAATTTTCAGATGTTGTAGTTACTTTATTCTGTTTAAAGATACACTGGAAATGTTTCACACATTGTAGTTACTGTCTACTGAGTAAGAATATTTCTATTTAGCTTCACGTGTCATTTTTTTGTGTATTAGAAATTATCACCATGGTGTAACCTTCCATATATACAACCTTTGTGTAGAATAAAGTATGTATACTAATGTAATCTTAAAATGTAATGTACAGTCACCTCCAAAAAACCTATCGACTCTCCTCCTGAACCACGAACCACGAGATTCAGACTCATGAACCCGAAGCATGAGGGGTTGGTGGATTGGGAGGAGATGCAACATGATTTTTGTTGCTGACTGTACAGTATTTTTGTAGTTATGCAGGTCAACATAATGTAGTCACTTTGTGTGTATTAATTTTAGTGTTTTGTTCACAGGGTTCCTTTCCTGGGATGAGGAAAAGGCGCACGTGGACATCCACAAGGAACTCGCTACCATCGCAGAACTTAACTTGGAAGGAGAAGAACAGAAAGGAGGTGAGTCAAACCAGTTTCTGTGTTTTGTTTGCATATATTGACGGGCCTCTCTTGTCCAGCTTACGTATTGTCGGAGTAAATCTGCCTTGTGGGGCAGACATATGACCACACTGTTAGTTTCTTTTCTACAATTTGTTTAAAAGAAGCTTGCGTCACAGACGATGTTTTTGAAGACAATTTGAATAATATTAATACATTGTTTATTTCACTTAAAGATTGGATAAGGTATTTTCTATTTTCTATACTCGGCATGCATAGAGATGACCACTCTCTCTGGCATTCCAGATTTTACTTTGTTTTTAATTCCATGAAGTTAAGTGTTAATTTATGCCTGGTATTGCTAGTCTAATACTGAAGTAGAAAAGTTATTACTGTTACATTTGAAAACTGGAAATTAAAGTTTCAAATGATAAGAGCAAAGAGTACAACACTGTCACTTACATATGCAAGTATGTATTTCTGATCTTCTGTTTGTCAACAATACTAACACTCCACTACTTGCTCACACACGTACACAAAAACACTTAGAGCAACGCGACCTCTTCAAAATGTAGAAAATAATTCTCAAGCGTTTGTCTTAAGGTGGATTGATCGATAATATAGAAGATCCATGCACATGTTAATCCCTTTACCCTTCAACAGTCGAGCTGCTAATCCAGTATGCCAAAAATTCTGGCTAAAATTCCTCAACTCTGTAAGAAACGGCTGATCAAGCATGCTATAAATTACTAAAAGTTATATCCCTTGTCCCCTCTAAAAGAGAATGGCTGAGTCAGAATCCTCCAATATCTAAAACTTAATTCCCCTTACCTTTATTCCATAGAATGGCTGATCTGTTATGCCGTAATTGTACAGTAGAAACTAAATCCATTTTCCCTCTAGGAATACAGTGGGTCTGAAGTGCCGAAAGCTTAAAACCTAATTTATTTACCTTTCCACAGGAGAACGGCTGATCCAATATGCCACCGAGAATCTGGTCGCAGAGGTGTTGATCCACCCCCAAGTCAACACCCTGCAGCAGTGCCTCAAGAACCTCCTCTCTTCATTCACCAAACACAGACACATCATCCATGCTGGCTACGCCTTTGCGGGTTCAGGGTCATGGATGTTACAGGTTTGTCCTCTTAAATTCGAAAAAACATGATTTTGGAACTGGACGTACTCTTTGGGATCCTAACAATTGAGGTTTTACAAAGGCATTTAAGTAGAATTAGTGATCCCAAAACATAATCTTTCTACTCGTAAAAGAATTTAAATCGCTGCATAAGTGAAATCCATTTTAATTCTAACATTCAGGTCAGAATAAGAACAACGATTCAGTAAGCGCTCTCCTGAACTAATGTCTTATCGTCTCAAGTAATCGTTTACGTATAATAAGGAGGTTATTGTATGTACAGAAGAAGTGCAATGGATCTTAAGAGTTTTTTTTTATTAGTCTTTCACCTGAGTTAGTCTTGATACCATGTTGGAATATTTACCGAACTTTTAAATGAGTTTGAATATTATAAATTTGTCAGTTAATTGAAGGATTATTGAACTCATGATATAAAACAGGATTTCTGTGTGATATTTTGCAGTGTTTTTGGACTTAGATATCTAAGATTTAAGGACTTAGTGTTAATGGATGACCCTTGAAATAAGTAAATCCATATTCTTACACTAGTTACCTGTAAATTTTAGATGCTTTTATTATGCTTTTTTTCAGTTTAAAAATATTTTCATCAATTTACACATGATGCTGCCTTGTTTAATATCAGAAAATAGGGCTAATTAATATTTTTTTAAATTTTTATTTTGTATCATTAATACATTATTTACAATCCCACAATGTCTCTTTTATCATTCATGTGTAAACAAATAACCAGTTTACACGAATGAATTACCTAAGGTGTATTCTGTCTAATATCTTAACATATTAGAAGATCTGGTTTCCTTGCTTAGATTCCTCAGAGGTTTGCTTGTAGTACAGTAAAACAGTTCATGATTATGTACAAGTTTACTCTTTCTTTGTTAATGTAATACTATATTAGGATTTAAATATGTGTGCAGTAGTTGTTACAATCCACACTGCCACATATAATAGGTTTTAACTTGTCATTAGAACCAACTGTTTCGATAATTATTTACATCATCTCGCATCTTGCAGGACGGAACATTCTCAGTGGCGGACCTTATCGCAGCCTTCAGCGAGTATGAGGTTCAGCGGGTCCTCCACGCTTACGAGAATTGCATTACCATTGACATCCACTGCGCTGCTGAAGGCCAGTGGTCAACACATTTCCTTGCCAAGGAATCATTCAGGTATAGTAAATGTTTTTTTGAATATTGAGTGTAAAACCACTGTTGGACCCCCACCAGCCCTAACAGTACACTAATTCTTAAAGCTTAATAGGAGACTGGTGTTAGGATTGGTGGTTTAGCATATTCCCGGTCAGCCGCAGAACTCCCTTATTATTGAAACCCAAAGCTTTTTCTTATAGTAAGATGTTTTGGGTTTCAAATATAAAGAAAACTTGGAACTAATACAAATGTTTATTCAAACTTAGCTTTATAGACTCTCAAACATAGCACACACAGGCACTTAAGCTTTCTGGATAATACTTTTTATACAGCAAATGTACATTCTCTGGAGAATTTGCTTATACAGTATACACAAACCTCTATTTATAAGTCTTTAGTATCACCACAAGCGCAACACTACTGTACACCTTACAACTCTGTAGGATTAAACAAAAGCACGCTCATTAATAGACCTTACGATAACCTGTAACTGAGTGGTGGCAGTAAGGTGAACAATTACAGTACAGTACTTGCACTCTGTAAAATACTCAACTATGACTCAAGACTTCAGAATTAATAAATTTAATTCTTACACAGTTTACCGAGTACAGTGTACTTCATTTCATGGAACAATAAGCACTTTCAGAGAGGCATCATGAATTCTTAGTAATTTTTCTAAACAAATTCACTTGGTGCTCTCTAAATATACTCTTCAATTAATTGAGTCCTTGCTCATACTACAGGGAATTTTACAAGTGACAAGAAGTCATGCACTGCCTTCACACTTTCATGCTGGCGGCATGAATTCTTGATAATTCCTCCAACTTGTAAGAGACCTCTTATTTCTTTACATCAATATACTATAATCACCTGCAAATGTTACAGTATAGGAACATATAATTGAAGACTTCCTGAGTAAAATTAAGGAGGTTGAACATGTTGAGTGCATTGTTTCATAGACATGGGTGCCTGGAATATTGTTCAAATTAAACACTACTGTATTATAAATCATTTCTCTTACCTAACAACTTCTAAGCATATGCGTGAAGTTACTAACATGCGAGATAGCCCCTTAGCCAACAGAGACAGTGCAGAAATATATATATATATTTTTTTTGGGGGGGATCACTCAGCCCGTTCGTCAAAGCAGCATCCTCGTACCCTAGCTGTTAGCGGGAAAGTGATGCGCCTCTTGGCTATTCAACTAAGCTGCTATGCTCTGTCTCTCCCCTCAACTGCTACTAACTTCCATATTTTAATTTGTTTATTTTTCTCTAATTTGTGTTTTTTTGTAATTCTCTTTAATTATGCATCCATTCTACGTGATTATTAGCTAATTTGGTTTCATACAATTACATTCTAATACAGTATATCATAATAAGTGACATCATGGTTATCATTCTTTCATGAATGCAATGTGTAGGAGTTAGGTAGGTTTTATTCTTCAAAAATGATTCATATAATGTTCATAAATTTTTTCTGACTATTGTATTTCCATGTAAATTGGCTCAGTAGCAGTCATCTGTGGTGTGTCTATTGCTAAATATAATCACATAAAAGGAAAACTAATAAAGATTTTTATATTTCAGTAAACTGTGCCGCGTGACAGTCAACCCTGACGATAAGATTGAGATCACCCCCGGGATCTCAACTTTCGTTCAGTATCTGTCACCGTTCCTCAGCAGCACACCTATTGAAGAACTCCTAGAACCCTCCGACATCGTGGGCAACATCCGTTTCTCTCGCCCCACTCTCTATGTGTTCCCCGGCGGTCAAGGTGACTCGGCTCTCTTCGGCGTCAATGGCTTCAATATGCTTGTGGATGGTGGCTATAACTACAAAGCATGTTTCTGGGATTTCACACGCCATCTCGATCGTCTCGATGCAGTCCTTATTACAAGACTTAACAGTTCTAATCTCATGGGTATCACTAATGTTATTCGTAGAAAAGCACTAAGTTCAGTGTATCCTCAGATCGGGCATACTTTCTGCAATGTTGCTGGTTCCTTAAAGTCTCCCGATGGTGACAAAGACAAAGACCCATTACTTATTAATCTCTGGGATGAAGGACACTTATTACGAGAAAATTTGAGACAAATTAGTTTAAAACCTCACTTGTGTTTCCGTGACAATGCCATGGAACCAATTAACTTATATCACAAAGTAGGACATGGTAAACTTGATATGTATGTAATAAATCCTTCTAGAGACAGTAAAGAAGTGCGAGAGTTCATGCAAAGATGGAACAATGAAGTGATTGCATCTGACATGGGCTTTACTACTTACAAAATCGGTGATAAAGTCTTTCCTTGCCCACTAACGAACCTCACTTCCATATGTGCCCTTTTGATATGGCAACCAAATGACCCTAGTGATACAATTACTAGAATTCTCTTCCCTGGAAGTACTCCCCAACACAAAATATTTGAAGGCCTTGAAAGGTTAAGAAATTTAGAATATCTTAAGTATCCAACGTGTTCTGCAAAGTCCATAAAAGCAGCAGCGGAGGAGCGCAAGAGCAGCAAGACCATGGAAAAGTTATTAGCTGATTCCAAACCAACCAAGGCAGTAAGTCCATCTCCACCAACACACAGAATAAAGAGGGAAAGGATTGACCGTTCTGTCAGTCGTGAAGAAAGAAGAAGATTGAAGATGGAGCGGTCAGAACTCCATGAAAAGACCATCCGTGAGGCAAAGAGGGAGAGAAAAGTTGACAAGAAAATTGAGAAGAAAGTCATTAAGCGAGAGGAGAAGAGAGAAAAGATTGAAGATAGGAAGGAAGAGAAAGTTACAACTGAACTTGAAGAAACAAAGGAAAAGGTGAATGGCTATGATATTGCCTTAGACTCCTTAGAAACTAGTGAAGACAAGAAATTGATACCCACAGAAGTTGCGAAAACCAAAGAAGAATCACAAAGAATAACAGATGTTATTGATAGTAAAGATACCAAAGAACCTAGTCTAGTTTCTAAAGCAGAGGTTATAACAGAAAAAGAAAAGTCCATAGAACAAAAAGAAAGAGCAAGAAAAGCAGTAGATTTAGAAACTAGAATACAAACCATTGAAACTGCAGAAATCAAAGAACTGCAGGAGATAGAATTAACAGATGTCAAAGAGGCATCTTTGGTTTCTGCTGAATCAGGTGTTGTGACTGGTGAAGAGAGAGAATCTTCTCTTGAAATTGAACAAACAAAAGAACTAAAGGAGAAGCCGAAACCAAAGGAAAAGAAAATAAAGGAATCGGGAACTCCTGATAGACCTAAGAGATACCGAAAGCCCAAGGTAGAATCACGCATCGATACTGGCGATAGAAGAACGAGAATAGAAGAAAGAACACAGCGGCTTGAAAAAAGAGCTAAAGAAAGAAAAAGCCTCGAAAGAAAAGAAAGAAGAGAACGTAAAGCAGAGCTTGAAGGAAAGAAGGAAGGGGAACCATCTGATAAAAAACCTGAGGTAAAGGAGAGAAAAATAAGAAAACTAAAGAAGCCTGAAAGTAAACTTGATGAAACTGGCACTCCCAAAAAATCTAGAACTCCAGAGACAAAGAGACGCCTTAAGAAGACTGCAGTACCAGAAAAAGAAGTTAATGGAGAAGTCAGACTACCCAAACCTCCTGTTCCTAAAGCACCAAGGGGTGAAAGAAGAATAATTCCTAAAACTACACCTACTACCAGAGAAATTACGCACAAGAAACTTGTTGATGACAGAAACAGAGCAGCAAAGGCCGCTGAAGCTGCAAAGAAGGAGCAGAAGCCCAAGCCTTCCACACCCAGAACTGCATTGAAGCAGGCAGCACCTGGAAGAACTCCAAAGCCCAAGAAGATAGAGAAACCACCTGTACCTAAACCAGATGGACCAATGAAAAAGATCATCACTGGTGCAGCTGTGAAAGCAGGTGTCATGGCTGCAGCTGTATCGGGTGTTGCTGTGGTTGAAGCAGCAGCTGACCGTGAGGATGTTGAAGAAATTGTCGCACCCATGAAGGAGGCCGATGATCTTATGCTTGCCCCTGACCAAGACGAAGAAGATCGTATCTCAGACATTGCCAACATCCCAGGAGTACAAGAAATCAAGTTAGATGAGGACACCTTGCAAATTATTGATAAACAACAACTCGAGGAGGAAGAAAAGGATTCTCTTATCCTGCATGAGGAAGGTGTTGTGGAGCATGTCGAAAAAGAAGATGTAATTGAAGAAGTTGAGGAACTTGTGGAAGCTGAAAAGGAAACTGAAGAAGAGGAGGAGGAAGAAGAAGAAGAGGAGGAGGAAGAAGAGGAGGAAGAAGAGGAGGAGGAAGAAGAAGAAGTCGAAGAAAGAGAACCTGAGGAAGAGATTGAAAAGGAAGAAAAATTAAGAGAAAAATTAAAAGCAGAAGAAGAGGAAGAAGAGGAGGAGGAGGAGGAAGAAGAAGAAGAGGAGGAGGAGGAAGTGCTTGAAGATGAGGAAAAAGTAAGCATTGAAGAAAAAGAAGATGAGTCAGAAAAGAAAAAGAAAGAAGACAAAATTACTCACTTGGAAGAAAAAGTTGAAGATATTGCTAAGCTTGAAGAAAAACATGAGACTGAAGATATATACGAGAAGATTGAGACAGAAGATAGAGATGTTTATGCCACATTACCAAGCAGTGCAAAACTCACAGAATATAAAGAAAAATATGAAGAGAAACCCATCCGAGGGTTATTCACTGGATTTGCCATACCTGCCACCGAACCAAAGGAAGTTTTACCAAAGGAGCCAAGTCCAAAACCAAAAGAAGAAGTTACTGTTCCAACATCCCTCCCAGAAGCAATTTTCAAACCTTCGGCACCACCAGTTCATCCTCGAGAGATCATCAAGACACCAGATGAAGTGGACGACCTGCCAATTCATGAAGAAGTCGAATCCATCGAATGTGATATATATGAGAAGGATATTGAGACAGAAAAGCCATCTGAAGAAGAGCTCGATGTAGGTTCTCCTATGCTAGAAGTTAAGGGAGAGTTACAAATTAGAGAAGAAGTAGCAGCAGAGAAACACGAAAGGGAGATCGTTAAAGAAATATCCAAAGAAAGTGAAGTGGAGGAAGAACTCGAAGAAGACGAAATCTCAAGAGAAGAGAAGCCCTCCAAATCTTTGGATGAGTTTGAGGCAAAATATGCTGAATTTAAGGCCACTGCTGTGTCAGAGGTAATTCAAAAGGGTGAGAAGGTTACTGAACCTATGGAAATCACCAAGATAGACAAAACCGAGCTTTTAAAAGATATTGCACAAACTCTAGGGGAAAAAGAAGAACCAATTAAACCAAAACTTCCTGAAACCGTTGCAGATGAAATGGAAGCGGTTCATGAGCTGCCAGTTGTAAAAGACCAAAAGCCAACTAAAGTCGTTACACCATATGAAGAACTTGAATTAGAAAAAGTTCCTGAAAAAGAAAAACGGGACAAAGAAGAAAAAGAAATCGATGAATTGGAAGAGGAGGATAAAGAAGCAGTAGAAGTTAAAGAAAAGGAAATCACTGAGATGATGGAAAAGGATCAAGTTTATAAAAAGATTGAAGAAGACAAGAAAGAAGTGAAAGTTGAAGAAGAGAAAGTACCTATCAAAGATACCACAGCAGATATTGTGACAATGGAGGAAATAGAAAAGGAGAAGGTGGTGGTTAAATACATCATTGAGGAAATTCAAGAAATGAGGCGGTTAGGTAGGTCAAGAAAAGAAATAATTGAATATATCGAAATTCACAGAAGACGACTACATGAGAGAATCAAGACTGAAATGACAAAACACGAAAAAGAACTTCTTGAACAACAAGTAAAGGAAATTGATGAAGTTGAGAAAGAAGTAAAGGAAGAAGTTACACAAGAAGTAAAGAGAGTAGAAGAATTGAGGAAAGAAGAAAAACCAATTGTGACAGAAGAAAAGGAGAAGATCGTTCCTGATGTGACCAAACCATTAGAACCTGAAAAGGTTGAACATGTAGACATTATTGAAGAAATTTATGAAATGAGGAGATTAGGTAGGTCTAGGGAAGAAATAATTGAATATATTGAAATACACAGACGAAGATTACGTGACAGAGCTAAGGTAGAAGTTTCCAAAGAGGAAAAAGAACTTCTTGAAAAGCAGATGAAGGAAATAGATGAAGTTGAACTAGAAGTAGAGAAAGAAGAAATCAAAGAAGAAAAACCAATTGTAACGGAGGAGAAAGAAGTTAAGGAGAAGGTCGTTCCTGATGTGACCAAACCATTAGAACCTGAAAAGGTCGAACATGTAGACATTATTGAAGAAATTTATGAAATGAGGAGATTAGGTAGGTCTAGGGAAGAAATAATTGAATATATTGAAATCCACAGACGAAGATTACGTGACAGAGCTAAGGTAGAAGTTTCCAAAGAGGAAAAAGAACTTCTTGAAAAGCAGATGAAGGAAATAGATGAAGTTGAACGAGACGTAGAGAAAGTAGAAATCAAAGAAGAAAAACCAATTGTAACGGAGGAGAAAGAAGTTAAGGAGAAGGTCGTTCCTGATGTGACCAAACCATTAGAACCTGAAAAGGTCGAACATGTAGACATTATTGAAGAAATTTATGAAATGAGGAGATTAGGTAGGTCTAGGGAAGAAATAATTGAATATATTGAAATCCACAGACGAAGATTACGTGACAGAGCTAAGGTAGAAGTTTCCAAAGATGAAAAAGAACTTCTTGAAAAACAGATGAAGGAAATAGATGTAGTTGAACTAGAAGTAGAGAAAGAAGAAATCAAAGAAGAACCAATTGTGACGGAGGAGAAAGAAGTTAAGGAGAAGGTCGTTCCTGATGTGACCAAACCATTAGAACCTGAAAAGGTCGAACATGTAGACATTATTGAAGAAATTTATGAAATGAGGAGATTAGGTAGGTCTAGGGAAGAAATAATTGAATATATTGAAATCCACAGACGAAGATTACGTGACAGAGCTAAGGTAGAAGTTTCCAAAGATGAAAAAGAACTTCTTGAAAAACAGATGAAGGAAATAGATGTAGTTGAACTAGAAGTAGAGAAAGAAGAAATCAAAGAAGAACCAATTGTGACGGAGGAGAAAGAAGTTAAGGAGAAGGTCGTTCCTGATGTGACCAAACCATTAGAACCTGAAAAGGTCGAACATGTAGACATTATTGAAGAAATTTATGAAATGAGGAGATTAGGTAGGTCTAGGGAAGAAATAATTGAATATATTGAAATCCACAGACGAAGATTACGTGACAGAGCTAAGGTAGAAGTTTCCAAAGATGAAAAAGAACTTCTTGAAAAACAGATGAAGGAAATAGATGTAGTTGAACTAGAAGTAGAGAAAGAAGAAATCAAAGAAGAACCAATTGTGACGGAGGAGAAAGAAGTTAAGGAGAAGGTCGTTCCTGATGTGACCAAACCATTAGAACCTGAAAAGGTCGAACATGTAGACATTATTGAAGAAATTTATGAAATGAGGAGATTAGGTAGGTCTAGGGAAGAAATAATTGAATATATTGAAATCCACAGACGAAGATTACGTGACAGAGCTAAGGTAGAAGTTTCCAAAGATGAAAAAGAACTTCTTGAAAAACAGATGAAGGAAATAGATGAAGTAGAGGATGAAATAGAGAAAGAAGAAATCAAAAAAGAAAAACCAATTGAAGAAAAACCAACTGTTACAGAGGAGAAAGAAGATAAGGAGAAGGTCGTTCCTGATGTAACCAAACCATTAGAACCTGAAAAGGTCGAACATGTAGACATTATTGAAGAAATTTATGAAATGAGGAGATTAGGTAGGTCTAGGGAAGAAATAATTGAATATATTGAAATCCACAGACAAAGATTACGTGACAGAGCTAAGGTAGAAGTTTCCAAAGATGAAAAAGAACTTCTTGAAGAGCAGATGAAGGAAATAGATGAAGTTGAACGAGAAGTAGAGAAAGAAGAAATCAAAGAAGAAAAACCAATTGTGACGGAGGAGAAAGAAGATAAGGAGAAGGTCGTTCCTGATGTAACCAAACCATTAGAACCTGAAAAGGTCGAACATGTAGACATTATTGAAGAAATTTATGAAATGAGGAGATTAGGTAGGTCTAGGGAAGAAATAATTGAATATATTGAAATCCACAGACGAAGATTACGTGACAGAGCTAAGGTAGAAGTTTCCAAAGATGAAAAAGAACTTCTTGAAAAGCAGATGAAGGAAATAGATGAAGTTGAACGAGAAGTAGAGAAAGTAGAAATCAAAGAAGAAAAACCAATTGTGACAGAAGTAAAGGAGGAGGTCATTCCTGATGTAACCAAACCATTAATAACTCAACTAATAGAACATGAAGACTTAATCAAGGAAATTCATGAAATGAAGAGATTAGGTAGGCCAAGAGAAGAAATTATTGAATATATTGAAATCCACAGAAAACAACTTCGGTACAGAGCTAAGGTTGAAGTTTCAAAAGAAGAAAAAGAACTTATTGAAAATATGATTAAGGAAACAGATGAAGTTGAGAAAGACATTGGAGTGAAAATTGAAGAAATCAAGAAAGAGGAGAAACCAGTTCTAGAAAAACCAACTGTGACAGAGGTGAAAGAGGAAAAGGACATTCTTGATGTGACCAAACCAGTAGAACCTGAAAAGGTTGAACATGTAGACATTATTGAAGAAATTTATGAAATGAGGAGATTAGGTAGGTCTAGGGAAGAAATAATTGAATATATTGAAATCCACAGACGAAGATTACGTGACAGAGCTAAGGTAGAAGTTTCCAAAGCTGAAAAAGAACTTCTTGAAAAGCAGATGAAGGAAATGGATGAACTTGAAGAAGTAGAAAAAGAAGAAATTAAAAAAGAAAAACCACTCGAAGAAAAACCAATTGTGACAGAAGTAAAGGAGGAGGTCATTCCTGATGTAACCAAACCATTAATAACCCAACTAATAGAACATGAAGACATTATCAAAGAAATTCATGAAATGAAGAGATTAGGTAGGCCAAGAGAAGAAATTATTGAATATATTGAAATCCACAGAAAACAACTTCGGTACAGAGCTAAGGTTGAAGTTTCAAAAGAAGAAAAAGAACTTCTTGATAATATGATTAAGGAAGTAGATGAAGTTGAGAAAGGAGTACTGGTGGAAGAAGTTACAAAATTGAAAGTTGAAGAAAAACCAATTGTGACAGAGGAGAAAGAAGATAAGGAGAAGGCTGTTCCTGATGTAACCAAACCATTAATACCTGAAAAGGTCGAACATGTAGACATTATTGAAGAAATTTATGAAATGAGGAGATTAGGTAGGTCTAGGGAAGAAATAATTGAATATATTGAAATCCACAGACGAAGATTACGTGACAGAGCTAAGGTAGAAGTTTCCAAAGATGAAAAAGAACTTCTTGAAGAGCAGATGAAGGAAATTGATGAAGTCGAGGAAGAAATAGAAAAAGAAGAAATCAAAAAAGAAAAACCAATTGTGACGGAGGAGAAAGAAGTTAAGGAGAAGGTCGTTCCTGATGTGACCAAACCACTAGAACCTGAAAAGGTCGAACATGTAGACATTATTGAAGAAATTTATGAAATGAGGAGATTAGGTAGGTCTAGGGAAGAAATAATTGAATATATTGAAATCCACAGACGAAGATTACGTGACAGAGCTAAGGTAGAAGTTTCCAAAGAGGAAAAAGATCTTTTTGAAAAGCAGATGAAGGAAATCGATGAAGCAGAGGAAGAAGTTACAAGAGAAGCAGAGAAAGTAGAAGAAATAAAAGAAGAACCAATTGTAGAAAAGCTTTTGACAGAAAAGAAAGAGGAAAAGGTTCTCCCTGATGTAACCAAGCCATTATTAACTGAAGAGGTAAAAGACATTGATATCACTGAAGAAATTGAAGAAATGAGGCGATTAGGCAAGACAACGAAAGAAATTGCTGAATATATTGAAATCCACGAAAGGAAACAACGCGAAAGAGTTGAACTTGAAGTAGCCAAAGAGGAAAAAGAACTTCCTGAAAAAGAAATAAAGAAAGAAGTTGCAAAAGAAGTGGAGGAAATTACAAAACTTAAGAAAGATGAAATTCTCAAGAAAGATGAAAAGAAAGAAGAAATTGAGAAAGAAATAAAGAAAATAGAAGATATCCCTAAAGTAGCAAAAGAAGTTATTGAAGAAATAAAGAAAGCTGAAGACATTCCCAAAGTTGACAAAATCCCTGAAGAATTAAAGGAAATTAAAGTAATTCATACAGAAAAAGAAGTTATTGAAGAAGTAAAGGAAGTAGAAGAAATTCCTAAAGAAGAAAAAGAAGTTACTGAAGAAGTCAAGGAAGTAGAAGAAATTCCTAAGGAAGTAAAGAAAGTAGAAGAAATTCCTAAGGAAGTAACGAAAGTAGAAGAAATTCCAAAAGAAAAAGAAGTTATTGAAGAAGTCAAGGAAGTAGAAGAAATTCCTAAGGAAGTAAAGAAAGTAGAAGAAATTCCTAAGGAAGTAAAGAAAGTAGAAGAAATTCCCAAAGAAGAAAAAGAAGTTATTGAAGAAGTCAAGGAAGTAGAAGAAATTCCTAAGGAAGTAAAGAAAGTAGAAGAAATTCCAAAAGAAAAAGAAGTTATTGAAGAAGTCAAGGAAGTAGAAGAAATTCCTAAGGAAGTAAAGAAAGTAGAAGAAATTCCAAAAGAAAAAGAAGTTATTGAAGAAGTCAAGGAAGTAGGAGAAATTCCTAAGGAAGTAAAGAAAGTAGAAGAAATTCCTAAGGAAGTAAAGAAAGTAGAAGAAATTCCCAAAGAGGAAAAAGAAGTTATTGAAGAAGTCAAGGAAGTAGAAGAAATTCCTAAGGAAGTAAAGAAAGTAGAAGAAATTCCAAAAGAAAAAGAAATTATTGAAGAAGTCAAGGAAGTAGGAGAAATTCCTAAGGAAGTAAAGAAAGTAGAAGAAATTCCCAAAGAAGAAAGAGAAGTTATTGAAGAAATAAAGAAAGTAGAAGAAATTCCTAAGGAAGTAAAGAAATTAGAAGTAATTCCCAAAGAAAAAGTTACTGAAGAAGTCAAGGAAGTAGAAGAAATTCCTAAGGAAGTAAAGAAAGTAGAAGAAATTCCTAAGGAAGTAAAGAAAGTAGAAGAAATTCCAAAAGAAAAAGAAGTTATTGAAGAAGTCAAGGAAGTAGAAGAAATTCCTAAGGAAGTAAAGAAAGTAGAAGAAATTCCTAAGGAAGTAAAGAAAGTAGAAGAAATTCCAAAAGAAAAAGAAGTTATTGAAGAAGTCAAGGAAGTAGAAGAAATTCCTAAGGAAGTAAAGAAAGTAGAAGAAATTCCAAAAGAAAAAGAAGTTATTGAAGAAGTCAAGGAAGTAGGAGAAATTCCTAAGGAAGTAAAGAAAGTAGAAGAAATTCCTAAGGAAGTAAAGAAATTAGAAGAAATTCCCAAAGAAGAAAAAGAAGTTATTGAAGAAGTCAAGGAAGTAGAAGAAATTCCTAAGGAAGTAAAGAAAGTAGAAGAAATTCCAAAAGAAAAAGAAGTTATTGAAGAAGTCAAGGAAGTAGAAGAAATTCCTAAGGCAGTAAAGAAAGTAGAAGAAATTCCCAAAGAAGAAAGAGAAGTTATTGAAGAAATAAAGAAAGTAGAAGAAATTCCTAAGGAAATACAGAAATTAGAAGTAATTCCCAAAGAAAAAGAAGTTACTGAAGAAGTCAAGGAAGTAGAAGAAATTCCTAAGGAAGTAAAGACAGTAGAAGAAATTCCTAAGGAAGTAAAGAAAGTAGAAGAAATTCCAAAAGAAGAAAAAGAAGTTATTGAAGAAGTAAAGAAAGTAGAAGAAATTCCCAAAGAAGAAAAAGAAGTTATTGAAGAAGTAAAGAAAGTAGAAGAAATTCCCAAAGAAGAAAAAGAATTTATTGAAGAAGTAAAGAAAGTAGAAGAAATTCCTAAGGAAGTAAAGAAAGTAGAAGAAATTTCTAAAGAAAAGAAAGTAGAAGAAATTCCCAAAGAAGTAAAGAAAGTTGAGGAAATCCCCAAAGAAGAAATCCCTGCACTTGAAAAAGTTGTTGAAGAAGTAAAGAAAGTAGAAGAAATTCCTAAAGAAGTAAAGAAAGTAGAAGAAATTCCTAAAGAAGTAAAGAAAGTAGAAGAAATTCCTAAAGAAGTAAAGAAAGTAGAAGAAATTCCTAAAGAAGTAAAGAAAGTAGAAGAAATTTCTAAAGAGGAAAAAGAAGTTATTGAAGAGGCAAAGAAAGTAGAAGAAATTCCTAAAGAAGTAAAGAAATTAGAAGAAATTCCTAAGGAAGTGAAGAAAGTAGAAGAAATCCCTAAACTTGAAAAAGATGTTATTGAAGAAGTAAAGAAAGTAGAAGAAATTCCCAAAGAAGAAAGAGAAGTTATTGAAGAAATTAAGAAAGTAGAAGAAATTCCTAAGGAAGTAAAGAAAGTAGAAGAAATTCCGAAAGAAGAAAAAGAAGTTATTGAAGAAGTCAAGGAAGTAGAAGAAATTCCTAAGGAAGTAAAGAAAGTAGAAGAAATTCCCAAAGAAGAAAAGAAAGTTGAGGAAATCCCCAAAGAAGAAATCCCTGCACTTGAAAAAGTTGTTGAAAAAGTAAAGAAAGTCGAAGAAATTCCTAAAGAAGTAAAGAAAGTAGAAGAAATTCCCAAAGAAGAAAAAGAAGTTATTGAAGAAGTAAAGAAAGTAGAAGAAATTCCCAAAGAAGAAAAAGAAGTTATTGAAGAAGTAAAGAAAGTAGAAGAAATTCCCAAAGAAGAAAAAGAAGTTATTGAAGAAGTAAAGAAAGTAGAAGAAATTCCCAAAGAAGTAAAGAAAGTTGAGGAAATCCCCAAAGAAGAAATCTCTGTTCTTGAAAAAGTTGTTGAAGAAGTAAAGAAAGTCAAAGAAATTCCTAAAGAAGTAAAGAAAGTAGAAGAAATTCCCAAAGAAGAAAAAGAAGTTATTGAAAAAGTAAAGAAAGTAGAAGAAATTCCCAAAGAAGTAAAGAAAGTTGAGGAAATCCCCAAAGAAGAAATCCCTGCACTTGAAAAAGAAGTTGTTGAAGAAGTAAAGAAAGTCGAAGAAATTCCTAAAGATGTGAAGGAAGTAGAAGAAATTCCTAAGGAAGTGAAGAAGGTAGAAGAACTCCCTGAAGAAGTAAAGAAAGTTGAGGAAATTCCAAAAGAAGTGAAGAAAGAAGAAATTCCTAAGGAAGTAAAGAAAGTAGAAGAAATTCCTGAAGTAAAGAAAGTTGAGGAAATTCCGAAAGAAGTAACGAAAGTTGAAGAAATCCCCAAAGAAGAAATCCCTGCACTTGAAAAAGTTGCTGAAGAAGTAAAGAAAGTCGAAGAAATTCCTAAAGAAGTAAGGAAAGAAGAAATTCCTAAGGAAGTAAAGAAAGTAGAAGAAATTCCTGAAGTAAAGAAAGTAGAAGTAATTCCAGAAGTAAAGAAAGTTGAGGAAATTCCGAAAGAAGTAACGAAAGTTGAAGAAATCCCCAAAGAAGAAATCCCTGCACTTGAAAAAGTTGTTGAAGAAGTAAAGAAAGTCGAAGAAATTCCTAAAGAAGTAAAGAAAGTAGAAGAAATTCCCAAAGAAGAAAAAGAAGTTATTGAAGAAGTAAAGAAAGTAGAAGAAATTCTCAAAGAAGTAAAGAAAGTTGATGAAATTTCTAAAGAAGAAAAGAAAGTAGAAGAAATTCCCAAAGAAGTAAAGAAAGTTGAGGAAATCCCCAAAGAAGAAATCCCTGCACTTGAAAAAGAAGTTGTTGAAGAAGTAAAGGAATTCGAAGAAATTCCTAAAGAAGTAAAGGAAGTAGAAGAAATTCCTAAAGATGTAAAGAAAATAGAAGAAATTCCTAAGGAAGTGAAGAAAGTAGAAGAAATTCCTAAAGAGGAAAAAGAAGTTATTGAAGAGGTAAAGAAAGTAGAAGAAATTCCCAAAGAAGTAAAGAAAGTTGAGGAAGTTTCTAAAGAAGAAAAGAAAGTCGAAGAAATTCCCAAAGAGGAAAAAGAAGTTATTGAAGAGGTAAAGAAAGTAGAAGAAATTCCTAAAGAAGTATCGAAAGTAGAAGAAATTCCTAAGGAAGTGAAGAAGGTACAAGAACTCCCTGAAGAAGTAAAGAAAGTTGAGGAAATTCCTAGAGAAGTAAAGAAAGAAGAAATTCCTGAAGAAGCAAAGAAAGTAGAAGTAATTCCAGAAGAAGTAAAGGAAGTTGAGGAAATTCCGAAAGAAGTAACGAAAGTTGAAGAAATCCCTAAAGAAGAAATCTCTAAACTTGAAAAAGAAGTTATTGAAGTAAAGAAAGTAGAAGAAATTCCCAAAGAAGTTATTGAAGAAATAAAGAAAGTAGAAGAAATTCCTAAAGAAGTCAAGAAAGTAGAAGAAATTCCCAAAGAAGAAAAAGAAGTTCTTGAAGTAAAGAAAGTAGAAATCCCCAAAGAAGAAATTCCTACACTAGAAAAAGAAGAAATCCCTACACTAGAAAAAGAAGTTATTGAAGTAGTAAAGAAAGAAGAAATTCCCAAAGAAGAAAAAGAAGTTATTGAAGAGGTAAAGAAAGTAGAAGAAATTCCTAAAGAAGTATCGAAAGTAGAAGAAATTCCTAAGGAAGTGAAGAAGGTACAAGAGCTCCCTGAAGAAGTAAAGAAAGTTGAGGAAATTCCTAGAGAAGTAAAGAAAGAAGAAATTCCTGAAGAAGCAAAGAAAGTAGAAGTAATTCCAGAAGAAGTAAAGGAAGTTGAGGAAATTCCGAAAGAAGTAACGAAAGTTGAAGAAATCCCTAAAGAAGAAATCTCTAAACTTGAAAAAGAAGTTATTGAAGTAAAGAAAGTAGAAGAAATTCCCAAAGAAGAAAAAGAAGTTATTGAAGAAATAAAGAAAGTAGAAGAAATTCCTAAAGAAATCAAGAAAGTAGAAGAAATTCCCAAAGAAGAAAAAGAAGTTCTTGAAGTAAAGAAAGTAGAAATCCCCAAAGAAGAAATTCCTACACTAGAAAAAGAAGAAATCCCTACACTAGAAAAAGAAGTTATTGAAGTAGTAAAGAAAGAAGAAATTCCCAAAGAAGAAAAGGAAGTTATTGAAGAAATAAAGAAAGTAGAAGAAATTCCTAAAGAAGTCAAGAAAGTAGAAGAAATTCCCAAAGAGGAAAAAGAAGTTATTGAAGCAGTAAAGAAAGTAGAAGAAATTCCCAAAGAAGCAAAGAAAGTTGAGGAAATTCCTAAAGAAGAAAAGAAAGTAGACGAAATTCCCAAAGAAGAAAAAGTTATCGAAGAAGTAAAGAAGGTTGAAGAAATCCTTAAACTAGAAAAGGAAGTTATTGAAGAAGTAAAGAAAGTGGAAGAAATTCCCAAAGAAGAAAAAGAAGTTATTGAAGAAGTAAAGAAAGTAGAGGAAATTCCCAAAGAAGAAAAAGAAGTTATTGAAGAAGTAAAGAAAGTAGAAATCCCTGAAGAAGAATTTCCTACACTAGAAAAAGAAGAAATTCCTACACTAGAAAAAGAAGTTCTTGAAGAAGTAAAGAAAGTAGAAGAAATTCCCAAAGAAGCAAAGAAAGTTGAGGAAATTCCTAAAGAAAAGAAAGTAGTAGAAACTCCCAAAGAAGAAAAAGAAGTTATCGAAGAAGTAAAGAAGGTTGAAGAAATCCTTAAACTAGAAAAGGAAGTTATTGAAGAAGTAGAGAAAGTAGAAGAAATTCCCAAAGAAGGAAAAGAAGTTATTGAAGAAGTAAAGAAAGTAGAAGAAATTCCCAAAGAAAAAGAAGTTATTGAAGAAGTAAAGAAAGTAGAAATCCCTAAAGAAGAAATTCCTACACTAGAAAAAGAAGAAATCGCTACACTAGAAAAAGAAGTTATTGAAGTAGTAAAGAAAGTAGAAGAAATTCCCAAAGAAGCAAAGAAAGTTGAGGAAATTCCTAAAGAAGAAATTCCTACACTAGAAAAAGAAGTTATTGAAGAAGTAAAGAAAGAAGAAATTCCCAAAGAAGCAAAGAAAGTTGAGGAAATTACTAAAGAAAAGAAAGAAGAAATTCCCAAAGAAGAAAAAGAAGTTATCGAAGAAGTAAAGAAGGTTGAAGAAATCCCTAAACTAGAAAAGGAAGTTATTGAAGAAGTAAAGAAAGTAGAAGAAATTCCAAAAGAAGGAAAAGTTATTGAAGAAGTAAAGAAAGTAGAAGAAATTCCCAAAGAAAAAGAAGTTATTGAAGAAGTAAAGAAAGTAGAAATCCCTAAAGAAGAAATTCCTACACTAGAAAAAGAAGAAATCGCTACACTAGAAAAAGAAGTTATTGAAGTAGTAAAGAAAGTAGAAGAAATTCCCAAAGAAGCAAAGAAAGTTGAGGAAATTCCTAAAGAAGAAAAGAAAGTAGAAGAAATTCCCAAAGAAAAAGTTATCGAAGAAGTAAAGGTTGAAGAAATCCCTAAACTAGAAAAGGAAGTTATTGAAGAAGTAAAGAAAGTAGAAGAAATTCCCAAAGAAGAAAAAGAAGTTATTGAAGTAGAGAAAGTAGAAGAAATTCCTAAAGAAGTAAAGAAAGTAGAAATCCCTAAAGAAGAAATTCCTACACTAGAAAAAGAAGTTATTGAAGAAGTAATGAAAGTAGAAGAAATTCCCAAAGAAGCAAAGAAAGTTGAGGAAATTACTAAAGAAAAGAAAGTAGAAGAAATTCCCAAAAAAGAAAAAGAAGTTATCGAAGAAGTAAAGAAGGTTGAAGAAATCCCTAAACTAGAGAAGGAAATTATTGAAGAAGTAAAGAAAGTAGAAGAAATTCCTAAAGAGGTAAAGAAAGTTGAAATCAGAAAAGAAGAAAAAGAAGTTGTTGTAGTAAAGAAAGTAGAAGAAATGGAAATTGTTGAAGTAAAGAAGGTAGAAGAAATTACCAAAGAAGAAAGGGAAGTTGCTGAAGAAATAAAGACCGTAGAAGAAATTACCAAAGAAGAAAAGGAAGTTGTTGAAGTAAAGAAAGTAGAAGAAATTACTAAAGAAGAAAGGGAAGTTGCTGAAGAATTAAAGACAGTAGAAGAAATTTCCAAAGAAGAAAAGGAAGTTGTTGAAGTAAAGAAAGTAGAAGAAATTACCAAAGAAGAAAGGGAAGTTGCTGAAGAAATAAAGACAGTAAAAGAAATTACCAAAGAAGAAAAGGAAGTTGTTGAAGTAAAGAAAGTAGAGGAAATCACAAAAGAAGAAAAAGTTGAAGTAGAAAAAGTAGAAGTTACCAAAGAAGAAAAGGAAATTGCTGAAGAAGTAAAGAAAGTAGATGAAGTTACAAAGGTAGAGAAAGAAATTATTGAAAGGGAAGAGAAGAAAGAAAAATTAAAAGTGTTCGAAGAGGTAAAGAAAGTTGATGCAAAGGAAATTGAAAAAAGTAAGTTGTTGGATAAGCAAAGGGACCAAATTACCGAATATATTGAAACACAGGAATTGACTGAGAAGGAAGATTTAGTTAGTAAGGAGGCTGTTAGTGTAGTATGTGATATTAGTGATAAAGTTCTCAAGACAGACATTTCCGTGATCGAGAAAAAGGAAGTTACTGTAAAGAGAGTGGAGGAGATAGTCGAGGTTACAGAAAAAGAAATCGTAGAAGAAAAACTTACAATTGATGTTACAACCAAGGAGTTAGATGATACAGCTGCATCTTTATCTCCTAAGAGTGATATTTCTATCAGTGTTAAAAGTGATATCAGTGGTAAGGAGGTTAAAGAAGCCTTAATTATTGATATTACAAAGAAACCAACAGAAGAAGCCCCAGTATCTCCTAAGAGTGACATCTCTGTGAGTGTAAAGAGTGACGTCAGTAAGGAGGCTGAAGAAGCCTTAATAATTGATATTACAAAGAAACCAACAGAAGAAGCTCCAGTATCTCCTAAGAGTGACATCTCTGTGAGTGTAAAGAGTGAAGTCAGTTCTAAGGAAGCAAAGGAAGACATTTCCAAGAAATCAGTTGAAGAGGTCCCACTTTCTCCTAAGAGTGACATCTCTGTCAGTGTAAAGAGTGAAGTCAGTTCTAAGGAAGCAAAGGAAGACATTTCCATGAAATCAGAGGAAGAGGTCCCACTTTCTCCTAAGAGTGACATCTCTGTCAGCGTCAAGAGTGAAGTCAGTTCTAAGGAAGCAAAGGAAGACATTTCCAAGAAATCAGTTGAAGAGGTCCCACTTTCTCCTAAGAGTGACATCTCTGTCAGTGTAAAGAGTGAAGTCAGTTCTAAGGAAGCAAAGGAAGACATTTCCATGAAATCAGAGGAAGAGGTCCCACTTTCTCCTAAGAGTGACATCTCTGTCAGTGTAAAGAGTGATGTCAGTGCTAAGGAGGTTAAAGAAGCCTTAATAATTGATATTACAAAGAAACCAACAGAAGAAGCTCCAGTATCTCCTAAGAGTGACATCTCTGTGAGTGTAAAGAGTGATGTCAGTTTAAAGGAAGATGTCTCCAAGAAATCAGTTGAAGAGGTCCCACTTTCTCCTAAGAGTGACGTCTCTGTCAGTGTAAAGAGTGAAGTCAGTGCTAAGGAGGCTAAAGAAGAAGCCTTTGTAATTGATATTACAAAGATACCAACAGAAGAAGCTCCAGTATCTCCAAAGAGTGACATCTCTGTGAGTGTAAAGAGTGAAGTCAGTTCCAAGAAATCAGAGGAAGAGGTCCCACTTTCTCCTAAGAGTGACATCTCTGTCAGTGTAAAGAGTGATGTCAGTGCTAAGGAGGCTAAAGAAGAAGCCTTTGTAATTGATATTACAAAGAAACCAACAGAAGAAGCTCCAGTATCTCCAAAGAGTGACATCTCTGTGAGTGTAAAGAGTGATGTCAGTGCTAAGGAAGCTAAAGAAGAAGCCTTAATAATTGATATTACAAAGAAACCAACAGAAGAAACTCCAGTATCTCCTAAGAGTGACATCTCTGTCAGTGTAAAGAGTGAAGTCAGTTCTAAGGAAGCAAAGGAAGACATTTCCATGAAATCAGAGGAAGAGGTCCCACTTTCTCCTAAGAGTGACATCTCTGTCAGCGTCAAGAGTGAAGTCAGTTCTAAGGAAGCAAAGGAAGACATATCCATGAAATCAGAGGAAGAGGTCCCACTTTCTCCTAAGAGTGACATCTCTGTCAGTGTAAAGAGTGATGTCAGTGCTAAGGAGGTTAAAGAAGCCTTAATAATTGATATTACAAAGAAACCAACAGAAGAAGCTCCAGTATCTCCTAAGAGTGACATCTCTGTGAGTGTAAAGAGTGATGTCAGTTTAAAGGAAGATGTCTCCAAGAAATCAGTTGAAGAGGTCCCACTTTCTCCTAAGAGTGACATCTCTGTCAGTGTAAAGAGTGAAGTCAGTTCTAAGGAAGCAAAGGAAGACATTTCCAAGAAATCAGAGGAAGAGGTCCCACTTTCTCCTAAGAGTGACATCTCTGTGAGTGTAAAGAGTGATGTCAGTGCTAAGGTGATGAAGGAGGACATCCTAATAATTGATGTAACAAAGAAGCCAACTGAAGAAGCCCCAGTATCTCCCAAGAGTGACATCTCTGTGAGTGTAAAGAGCGATGTCAGTGCTAAGGAAGCTAAAGAAGAAGCCTTAATAATTGATATTACAAAGAAACCAACAGAAGAAGCTCCAGTATCTCCTAAGAGTGACATCTCTGTGAGTGTAAAGAGTGAAGTCAGTTCTAAGGAAGCAAAGGAAGACATTTCAAAGAAATCAGAGGAAGAGGTCCCACTTTCTCCTAAGAGTGACATCTCTGTGAGTGTAAAGAGTGATGTCAGTGCTAAGGAGATGAAGGAGGACATCCTAATAATTGATGTAACAAAGAAGCCAACTGAAGAAGCCCCAGTATCTCCCAAGAGTGACATCTCTGTGAGTGTAAAGAGTGATGTCAGTGCTAAGGAGATGAAGGAGGACATCCTAATAATTGATGTAACAAAGAAGCCAACTGAAGAAGCCCCAATATCTCCCAAGAGTGACATCTCTGTGAGTGTAAAGAGTGATGTCAGTTTAAAGGAAGATGTCTCGAAGAAATCAGTTGAAGAGGTCCCACTGTCACCTAAGAGTGACATCTCTGTGAGTGTAAAGAGTGACGTCAGTGCTAAGGAGGCTGAAGAAGCCTTAATAATTGATATTACAAAGAAACCAACAGAAGAAGCTCCAGTATCTCCTAAGAGTGACATCTCTGTGAGTGTAAAGAGTGATGTCAGTGCTAAGGAAGCTAAAGAAGAAGCCTTAATAATTGATATTACAAAGAAACCAACAGAAGAAGCTCCAGTATCTCCTAAGAGTGACATCTCTGTGAGTGTAAAGAGTGATGTCAGTGCTAAGGAAGCTAAAGAAGAAGCCTTAATAATTGATATTACAAAGAAACCAACAGAAGAAGCTCCAGTATCTCCTAAGAGTGATATCTCTGTGAGTGTAAAGAGTGATGTCAGTGCTAAGGAAGCTGAAGAAGAAGCCTTAATAATTGATATTACAAAGAAACCAACAGAAGAAGCTCCAATATCTCCTAAGAGTGACATCTCCGTGAGTGTAAAGAGTGAAGTCAGTTCTAAGGAAGCAAAGGAAGACATTTCCAAGAAATCAGAGGAAGAGGTCCCACTTTCTCCTAAGAGTGACATCTCTGTGAGTGTAAAGAGTGATGTCAGTGCTAAGGAGATTAAGGAGGACATCCTAATAATTGATGTAACAAAGAAGCCAACTGAAGAAGCCCCAATATCTCCCAAGAGTGACATCTCTGTGAGTGTAAAGAGTGACGTCAGTGCTAAGGAGGCTGAAGAAGCCTTAATTATTGATATTACAAAGAAACCAACAGAAGAAGCTCCAATATCTCCTAAGAGTGACATCTCTGTGAGTGTAAAGAGTGAAGTCAGTTCTAAGGAAGCAAAGGAAGACATTTCCAAGAAATCAGAGGAAGAGGTCCCACTTTCTCCTAAGAGTGACATCTCTGTCAGTGTAAAGAGTGAAGTCAGTTCTAAGGAATCAAAGGAAGACATTTCCAAGAAATCAGAGGAAGAGGTCCCACTTTCTCCTAAGAGTGACATCTCTGTCAGTGTAAAGAGTGAAGTCAGTTCTAAGGAAGCAAAGGAAGACATTTCCAAGAAATCAGAGGAAGAGGTCCCACTTTCTCCTAAGAGTGACATCTCTGTCAGTGTAAAGAGTGAAGTCAGTTCTAAGGAAGCAAAGGAAGACATTTCCAAGAAATCAGAGGAAGAGGTCCCACTTTCTCCTAAGAGTGACATCTCTGTCAGTGTAAAGAGTGAAGTCAGTTCTAAGGAAGCAAAGGAAGACATTTCCAAGAAATCAGTTGAAGAGGTCCCACTTTCTCCTAAGAGTGACATCTCTGTCAGTGTAAAGAGTGATGTCAGTGCTAAGGAGGCTAAAGAAGAACCCTTGGTAATTGATATTACAAAGAAACCAACAGAAGAAGCTCCAGTATCTCCCAAGAGTGACATCTCTGTGAGTGTAAAGAGTGACGTCAGTGCTAAGGAGGCTGAAGAAGCCTTAATTGTTGATATTACAAAGAAACCAACAGAAGAAGCTCCAGTATCTCCTAAGAGTGACATCTCTGTCAGTGTAAAGAGTGATGTCAGTGCTAAGGAGGCTAAAGAAGAACCCTTGGTAATTGATATTACAAAGAAACCAACAGAAGAAGCTCCAGTATCTCCTAAGAGTGACATCTCTGTGAGTGTAAAGAGTGAAGTCAGTGCTAAGGAGGCTAAAGAAGAACCCTTGGTAATTGATATTACAAAGAAACCAACAGAAGAAGCTCCAGTATCTCCTAAGAGTGACATCTCTGTCAGTGTAAAGAGTGAAGTCAGTTCTAAGGAAGCAAAGGAAGACATTTCCAAGAAATCAGAGGAAGAGGTCCCACTTTCTCCTAAGAGTGACATCTCTGTCAGTGTAAAGAGTGATATCAGTGCTAAGGAGGCTAAAGAAGAACCCTTGGTAATTGATATTACAAAGAAACCAACAGAAGAAGCTCCAGTATCTCCTAAGAGTGACATCTCTGTGAGTGTAAAGAGTGATGTCAGTGCTAAGGAGGCTAAAGAAGAACCCTTGGTAATTGATATTACAAAGAAACCAACAGAAGAAGCTCCAGTATCTCCTAAGAGTGACATCTCTGTCAGTGTAAAGAGTGATGTCAGTGCTAAGGAGGCTAAAGAAGAACCCTTGGTAATTGATATTACAAAGAAACCAACAGAAGAAGCTCCAGTATCTCCTAAGAGTGACATCTCTGTGAGTGTAAAGAGTGATGTCAGTGCTAAGGAAGCTAAAGAAGAACCCTTGGTAATTGATATTACAAAGAAACCAACAGAAGAAGCTCCAGTTTCTCCTAAGAGTGACATCTCTGTGAGTGTAAAGAGTGAAGTCAGTTCTAAGGAAGCAAAGGAAGACATTTCCAAGAAATCAGAGGAAGAGGTCCCACTATCTCCTAAGAGTGACATCTCTGTGAGTGTAAAGAGTGATGTCAGTGCAAAGGAGATTAAGGAGGACATCCTAATAATTGATGTAACAAAGAAGCCAACTGAAGAAGCCCCAATATCTCCCAAGAGTGACATCTCTGTAAGTATAAAGAGTGATGTCAGTTTAAAGGAAGATGTCTCGAAGAAATCAGTTGAAGAGGTCCCACTGTCTCCTAAGAGTGACATCTCTGTGAGTGTAAAGAGTGACGTCAGTGCTAAGGAAGCTGAGGAAGCCTTAATAATTGATATTACAAAGAAACCAACAGAAGAAGCTCCAGTATCTCCTAAAAGTGACATCTCTGTGAGTGTAAAGAGTGATGTCAGTGCTAAGGAGGCTAAAGAAGAAGCCTTGGAAATTGATATTACAAAGAAACCAACAGAAGCACCAGTATCTCCTAAGAGTGACATCTCTGTGAGTGTAAAGAGTGAAGTCAGTTCTAAGGAAGCAAAGGAAGACATTTCCAAAAAATCAGAGGAAGAGATTCCACTGTCTCCTAAGAGTGACATCTCTGTGAGTGTAAAGAGTGATGTCAGTGCTAAGGAAGCTAAAGAAGAAGCCTTAATAATTGATATTACAAAGAAACCAACAGAAGAAGCTCCAGTATCTCCTAAGAGTGACATCTCTGTGAGTGTAAAGAGTGATGTCAGTGCTAAGGAAGCTAAAGAAGCCTTAATAATTGATATTACAAAGAAACCAACAGAAGAAGCTCCAGTATCTCCTAAGAGTGACATCTCTGTCAGTGTAAAGAGTGATGTCAGTGCTAAGGAAGCTAAAGAAGCCTTAATAATTGATATTACAAAGAAACCAACAGAAGAAGCTCCAGTATCTCCTAAAAGTGACATCTCTGTGAGTGTAAAGAGTGATGTCAGTGCTAAGGAAGCTAAAGAAGCCTTAATAATTGATATTACAAAGAAACCAACAGAAGAAGCTCCAGTATCTCCTAAGAGTGACATCTCTGTCAGTGTAAAGAGTGATGTCAGTGCTAAGGAATCAAAGGAAGACATTTCAAAAAAATCAGAGGAAGAGATTCCACTTTCTCCTAAGAGTGACATCTCTGTCAGTGTAAAGAGTGATGTCAGTGCTAAGGAGATTAAGGAGGACATCCTTATATTTGATATAACAAAGAAGCCAACTGAAGAAGCCCCAGTATCTCCCAAGAGTGACATCTCTGTGAGTGTAAAGAGTGAAGTCAGTTCTATGGAAGCAAAGGAAGACATTTCCAAGAAATCAGAGGAAGAGGTCCCACTTTCTCCTAAGAGTGACATCTCTGTGAGTGTAAAGAGTGATGTCAGTGCTAAGGAAGCTAAAGAAGAAGCCTTAATAATTGATATCACAAAGAAACCAACAGAAGAAGCTCCAGTATCTCCTAAGAGTGACATCTCTGTGAGTGTAAAGAGTGAAGTCAGTTCTAAGGAAGCAAAGGAAGACATTTCCAAGAAATCAGAGGAAGAGGTCCCACTTTCTCCTAAGAGTGACATCTCTGTGAGTGTAAAGAGTGATGTCAGTGCTAAGGAAGCTAAAGAAGAAGCCTTAATAATTGATATCACAAAGAAACCAACAGAAGAAGCTCCAGTATCTCCTAAGAGTGACATCTCTGTGAGTGTAAAGAGTGAAGTCAGTGCTAAGGAAGCCAAGGAAGACATTTCCAAGAAATCAGAGGAAGAGGTCCCACTTTCTCCTAAGAGTGACATCTCTGTCAGTGTTAAAAGTGATATCAGTGCTAAGGAAGCTAAAGAAGAAGCCTTAATAATTGATATCACAAAGAAACCAACAGAAGAAGCTCCAGTATCTCCTAAGAGTGACATCTCTGTGAGTGTAAAGAGTGAAGTCAGTGCTAAGGAAGCCAAGGAAGACATTTCCAAGAAATCAGAGGAAGAGGTCCCACTTTCTCCTAAGAGTGACATCTCTGTGAGTGTAAAGAGTGATGTCAGTGCTCTCTGCTAAGAGTGAGCCTTGGATGAAATCACAAAGAAACCAACAGAAGAAGCTCCAGTATCTCCTAAGAGTGACATCTCTGTGAGTGTAAAGAGTGAAGTCAGTTCTAAGGAAGCCAAGGAAGACATTTCCAAGAAATCAGAGGAAGAGGTCCCACTTTCTCCTAAGAGTGACATCTCTGTCAGTGTTAAAAGTGATATCAGTGCTAAGGAAGCTAAAGAAGAAGCCTTAATAATTGATATCACAAAGAAACCAACAGAAGCTCCAGTATCTCCTAAGAGTGACATCTCTGTGAGTGTAAAGAGTGAAGTCAGTGCTAAGGAAGCCAAGGAAGACATTTCCAAGAAATCAGAGGAAGAGGTCCCACTTTCTCCTAAGAGTGACATCTCTGTCAGTGTAAAGAGTGATGTCAGTGCTAAGGAAGCAAAGGAAGACATTTCCAAGAAATCAGAGGAAGATGTCCCACTTTCTCCTAAGAGTGACATCTCCGTGAGTGTAAAGAGTGAAGTCAGTTCTAAGGAAGCAAAGGAAGACATTTCCAAGAAATCAGAGGAAGAGGTCCCACTTTCTCCTAAGAGTGACATCTCCGTGAGTGTAAAGAGTGATGTCAGTGCTAAGGAGGCTAAAGAAGACGCCTTGGTAATTGATATTACAAAGAAACCATCAGAAGAAGCTCCACTATCTCCTAAGAGTGACATCTCTGTGAGTGTAAAGAGTGATGTTAGTGCTAAGGAGATTAAGGAGGACATCCTATTAATTGATGTAACAAAGAAGCCAACTGATGAAGCCCCAGTATCTCCCAAGAGTGACATCTCTGTTAGTGTAAAGAGTGATGTCAGTGTAAAGGAAGATGTCTCCAAGAAATCGGTTGAAGAGGTCCCACTGTCCCCTAAGAGTGACATCTCTGTGACTGTAAAGAGTGACGTCAGTGCTAAGGAGGCTGAAGAAGCCTTAATAATTGATATCACAAAGAAACCAACAGAAGAAGCTCCAGTATCTCCTAAAAGTGACATCTCTGTGAGTGTAAAGAGTGAAGTCAGTTCTAAGGAAGCAAAGGAAGACATTTCCAAGAAATCAGAGGAAGAGGTCCCACTTTCTCCTAAGAGTGACATCTCCGTGAGTGTAAAGAGTGATGTCAGTGCTAAGGAGGCTAAAGAAGACGCCTTGGTAATTGATATTACAAAGAAACCAACAGAAGAAGCTCCAGTATCTCCAAAGAGTGACATCTCAGTGAGTGTAAAGAGTGATGTCAGTGCTAAGGAGATTAAGGAGGACATCCTATTAATTGATGTAACAAAGAAGCCAACTGAAGAAGCCCCAGTATCTCCCAAGAGTGACATCTCTGTCAGTGTAAAGAGTGATGTCAGTTTAAAGGAAGATGTCTCCAAGAAATCAGTTGAAGAGGTCCCACTTTCTCCTAAGAGTGATATCTCTGTTAGTGTAAAGAGTGATGTCAGTGCTAAGGAGGCTGAAGAAGACGCCTTGGTAATTGATATTACAAAGAAACCAACAGAAGAAGCTCCAGTATCTCCTAAGAGTGACATCTCTGTGAGTGTAAAGAGTGAAGTCAGTTCTAAGGAAGCCAAGGAAGACATTTCCAAGAAATCAGAGGAAGAGGTCCCACTTTCTCCTAAGAGTGACATCTCTGTCAGTGTAAAGAGTGATGTCAGTGCTAAGGAGGCTAAAGAAGAAGCCGTAATAATTGATATTACAAAGAAACCAACAGAAGAAGCTCCAGTATCTCCAAAGAGTGACATCTCAGTGAGTGTAAAGAGTGATGTCAGTGCTAAGGAGATTAAGGAGGACATCCGATTAATTGATATAACAAAGAAGCCAACTGAAGAAGCCCCAGTATCTCCTAAGAGTGACATCTCTGTCAGTGTAAAGAGTGATGTCAGTGCTAAGGAAGCAAAGGAAGACATTTCCAAGAAATCAGAGGAAGAGGTCCCACTTTCTCCTAAGAGTGACATCTCTGTCAGTGTAAAGAGTGATGTCAGTGCTAAGGAAGCAAAGGAAGACATTTCCAAGAAATCAGAGGAAGAGGTCCCACTTTCTCCTAAGAGTGACATCTCTGTCAGTGTTAAAAGTGATGTCAGTGCTAAGGAGGCTAAAGAAGAAGCCTTAATAATTGACATTACAAAGAAACCAACAGAAGAAGCTCCAGTATCTCCAAAGAGTGACATCTCTGTGAGTGTAAAGAGTGAAGTCAGTTCTAAGGAAGCAAAGGAAGACATCCTAAAAATTGACGTATCGAAGAAGCCAACTGAGGAAGCCCCAGTATCTCCCAAGAGTGACATCTCTGTGAGTGAAAAGAGTGATGTCAGTTTAAAGGAAGATGTTTCCAAGAAATCAATTGAAGAGGTCCCACTTTCTCCAAAGAGTGACATCTCTGTGAGTGTAAAGAGTGATGTCAGTGCTAAGGAAGCAAAGGAAGACATTTCCAAGAAATCAGAGGAAGAGGTCCCACTTTCTCCAAAGAGTGACATCTCTGTGAGTTTAAAGAGTGATGTCAGTTCTAAGGAGATTAAGGAAGACATCCTAAAAATTGACGTATCGAAGAAGCCAACTGAGGAAGCCCCAGTATCTCCCAAGAGTGACATCTCTGTGAGTGAAAAGAGTGATGTCAGTTTAAAGGAAGATGTTTCCAAGAAATCAATTGAAGAGGTCCCACTTTCTCCTAAGAGTGACATCTCTGTGAGTGTAAAGAGTGATGTCAGTGCTAAGGAAGCAAAGGAAGACATTTCCAAGAAATCAGAGGAAGAGGTCCCACTTTCTCCTAAGAGTGACATCTCTGTGAGTGTAAAGGTGAAATGATGTCAGTGCAGTAAGGAAGCAAAGGAAGACATTTCCAAGAAATCAGAGGAAGAGGTCCCACTTTCTCCTAAGAGTGACATCTCTGTCAGTGTAAAGAGTGATGTCAGTGCTAAGGAAGCAAAGGAAGACATTTCCAAGAAATCAAAGGAAGAGGTCCCACTTTCTCCAAAGAGTGACATCTCTGTGAGTGTAAAGAGTGATGTCAGTGCTAAGGAGATTAAGGAAGACATCCTAAAAATTGACGTATCGAAGAAGCCAACTGAGGAAGCCCCAGTATCTCCCAAGAGTGACATCTCTGTGAGTGAAAAGAGTGATGTCAGTTTAAAGGAAGATGTTTCCAAGAAATCAATTGAAGAGGTCCCACTTTCTCCAAAGAGTGACATCTCTGTGAGTGTAAAGAGTGATGTCAGTGCTAAGGAAGCAAAGGAAGACATTTCCAAGAAATCAAAGGAAGAGGTCCCACTTTCTCCAAAGAGTGACATCTCTGTGAGTGTAAAGAGTGATGTCAGTTCTAAGGAGATTAAGGAAGACATCCTAAAAATTGACTTATCGAAGAAGCCAACTGAGGAAGCCCCAGTATCTCCCAAGAGTGACATCTCTGTGAGTGAAAAGAGTGATGTCAGTTTAAAGGAAGATGTTTCCAAGAAATCAATTGAAGAGGTCCCACTTTCTCCTAAGAGTGACATCTCTGTGAGTGTAAAGAGTGATGTCAGTGCTAAGGAAGCAAAGGAAGACATTTCCAAGAAATCAGAGGAAGAGGTCCCACTTTCTCCTAAGAGTGACATCTCTGTGAGTGTAAAGAGTGATGTCAGTGCTAAGGAAGCAAAGGAAGACATTTCCAAGAAATCAAAGGAAGAGGTCCCACTTTCTCCAAAGAGTGACATCTCTGTGAGTGTAAAGAGTGATGTCAGTGCTAAAGAAGCTAAAGTAGAAGCCTTAATAATTGATATCACAAAGAAACCAACAGAAGAAGCTCCAGTATCTCCTAAGAGTGACATCTCTGTCAGTGCCAAGAGTGAAGTCAGTTCAAAGGAAGATGTCTCCAAAAAATCACTTGAAGAGCTCCCACTTTCTCCTAAGAGTGACATCTCTGTGAGTGTAAAGAGTGATGTCAGTGCTAAGGAGACTAAAGAAGAAGCCTTAATATTTGATATTGCAAAGAAACCAACAGAAGACGCTCCAGCATCTCCAAAGAGTGACCTTACCCCCAGTATCAAGAGTGAACCCAGTTCACTAGAAGTTTCAAAGAAATCTACCGATGAAGCTCCATTATCTCCCAAAAGTGACGTATCTGTAAGTGTAAAGAGTGATATTAGCTTAAAGGAGGCAAAGGAAGATATTCTAGAATATGAAGAAATAAAAAAATCGTCTGCTGAAGTTGTTTCTCCCGGTGGTTACATATCTGTCAGCATGAGAAGCCACATTGTATGCACTGATACAGTCAAGGACAGATTAACTCTTGATGTGTCTCAGGAGCGTGATGAAGAAGCTCCGGTGTCTCCAAAGAGCGATATCTCTGTTAGTGCAAAGAGCGATATCAGCTCAAAAAGTGAAAAAGTTAGCAGTAAAGTCGAGGAAGCTCCACTTTCTCCTAAGAGCGACATTTCTGTGAGTGCAAAGAGTGATATTAGCTCCAAGAGTGGCAAAGAACCTGTCAGTAAAGTCGAGGAAGCTCCACTTTCTCCTAAGAGCGACATTTCTGTGAGTGCAAAGAGTGATATTAGCTCCAAGAGTGGCAAAGAACCTGTCAGTAAAGTCGAGGAAGCTCCACTTTCTCCTAAGAGCGACATTTCTGTGAGTGCAAAGAGTGATATTAGCTCCAAGAGTGGTAAGGAACCTGTCAGTAAAGTCGAGGAAGCTCCATCTTCTCCAAAGAGCGACATTTCTGTGAGTTCAAAGAGCGATGTCAGTTCAAAGGAGAGTAAAAAAGAAGAAATTCCCGTAGACATTAGTAAAAAAGACACAGAGGCAGCTCGAGAATCTCCCAAGAGTGACGTGGCTCCTAGTGTCAAGAGTGAACCAAGTTCAATGGACCTTTCAAAGAAATCTGTTGAAGAAGCTCCTTTGTCTCCTAAGAGTGATGTATCTCTCAGTGCTAAGAGTGACATTAGTTCAAAAGAAATCAAGGACGAGATTGCAGAATCTAAGAAACCATCAGAGGGCATTGTGTCTCTTGATAGTTTTATTTCCGTTAGTATGAAGAGCCACATTGTTCACACTGAGTTTATGGAGACTTTAACGGTTGATGTACCTGTGGGAGATGTCATTTCCAAGGAAGCTGGAGAGGGCATTCTAAAAATTGATGTGACTAAGAAAACTCCAGAAGTTCCGCTGTCTCCCAAGAGTGATACCTCTGTCAGTGCTAAGAGTGATGTCAGCTCCAAGAGTGGCAAGGAAAGTGTCGATAAAGTCGAAGAGGCACCTCTTTCACCGAAGAGTGACATTTCTATTAGCACAAAGAGTGATGTGAGCTCAAAGGATATTAAAAAAGACTTGATTATAGATGTTATCAAAAAAGATACCGACAAAGCACCAGAATCTCCCAAAAGTGATGTAGATTCTAGTGTTAAGAGTGAGCCCAGTTCAAAAGAAGTCTCCAAGAAGTCCACTGAGGAAGCTCCTCTGTCTCCAAAGAGTGACATATCTGTAAGTGAAAAGAGCGAAATAAGCAAAAAGAGCGATTTGAGCCATAAGAGTGATGTTAGTGGAAAGAGTGATGCTGGCCCTAAACTTGACATCACTCCCATACCTTCAGAAAAAGAAAGGGAGCCTAGAGCTTACATAGAAACAGGTGTTGTAGAAGAGCCAGTCTATGGTATCTTGAGAGCAGAACGAGCAGAGTTTGTCACTGTTTCTCCAGACACGACACCAGGATCAACGCCACTGTCACCCACAATGCGCGAGATTGGCATGGCTGGAATCTCCCTTATAACACCACTTCAAAAAGATAAATCAGATGTTATGACTTCCTCTATTTATGAGGAATCTACGTCCACTTCCAAACCTGAACCGGACCAAGAAACAGATGTAATGACTACATCTGTACATCGAGAATTTGATGCCATGACTACTTCTATTTATGAACCAAGTCAGGATATTATGACTTCTTCTATGTATGGTGAAGACTTTGCCATGCATGGTGTACACGACCTTAGAAAATCCTCTGAGGAGGAAACAACTACTGTGGCCTTAACTAGAGTTAAGAAAACCGAAGATATAATGTCGACTTCCATGTATGGTAGTCTCGATGAAAGGGAATACGATGAAAGTGTACAGAAATCCATTGATGATATGACATCTCCCCGCAGCGTCACCTTTGGAAAGACCCAAGAGGTGGTTGCTGACAAGGATATGCCATCTTCAAGAATGCCAGAGACAGACGCTGAAAGTTATCCACCTGTGTCCCCTCGAAGTGATTTGTCTTCTGAAGTGTATCAAGTGCCCTCCATGTCTCCTCGTAGTGATGGATATGAAGCAGAGCTAAGTGGCCAGTATGAGGAACGTGATGATGACCAGGCACAATTATCTCCTCGCTCGGACATCTCTTCAATTTCAGATATTGTACGAAGGGAACAAAAACATTCTGTAACAGAACAAATAGTCAAGGAGACTACCATGATTCATCGTGAAGTTCTGGATAGTGGCCGTTCAGTATCTCCAGTGAGTGACGTAGCAGCCAAGGATGGACTGGACTCCCTTGACTCCTTCAAGTTACAACCAGTATTGGGGAGTGATAAAGAAATTGATGAAGGAAAACCACTCTCTCCACGTAGCGACGTCTCTGGCAAAACTGATGCCTCAGAGAAAGATTCTGCCTTTGAAGATAGAGACAAACTATCTAGTCTTGAGAGTCATCTTATGCCTTCCCTTCCTAGTGATGTCAGAGTAACAGAAACAGAGCTGTCTAAATATGCAGCTGTGTCAGAAGAAATCTGTCGTTCGGAAATAAGTGAAATTGTCCACGAAACTTCGTCTACAACAGAAACTAGATTATTAAAAGAAGTATCGACTGAAGATAAAGTGAGAAAAGTGTCTGAAACTGTTTCTGAAAGCACAAAGAGTGATAGCACTACAGTATTGTCTGGGCTGATGACTAGTATAGTTAGTAGTTTTGATAGCACAAAAACCATTATTGACAAATCAACAGACTTGTCACGTAGCACAAAGTCGGAAATCATAGAAGAAACTGTTACCAAAGAAGACAAGGCATCCATAAAACCCAAGACAGAAATGTCGCCAGAAGATGAAAGCTCCATTAGCTATAAAAAAGAACCAACCACACAAACTGAAACCCAAGATGCAATAATGGTTTCTCCTAAGAGTGATATTTCAATAAGTTCGAAGAGCGATGTTACTTCTATTGATGCTAAGGAGTTGCCTAAGGATCCTTCGCTTAGAGGAGAAGAACCAAAACCAACAACAGAGTCCTCAGAAGGTGAAATTTCTGAAGAGATTTTCAAGGAAGAGGTACGGGAGACTACAAAGTTCCTCACTGAGGCTATTGGGGTGAAGGAAGTGGTTCAGGGAATCAAAACGGCTGTGACATCCCTTGAGGATTCTACTACTAGTAAGACTTCCTTCCAAGACTTCAAAGAAACTGCATCCCCGCCTCCCTCGCCTGAAAAATCTACAGGAAAAACTGACCTCTCAGCTTCGTCTACCGTGTCATCTCTTCATGAAAGTGAATCCTTGACTTCAGTACATAGTAAAGTCGAGGCTGCCAAAGAAGAGAGCTTAAGTACAGACGCTGTTGAATCTGTGTCTGTGACAGTAAGAGATTCACTCATTCATACTCATACCTCATCTGTACATGATTCATTATTAACCACCTCCAGCATAACAACCACATCTGCCACAGAGACGATAACATCAACAGTAAAGCCTGTACCAAGCTCTCCAGACAAAACAAAAACACCTGATCTTCCCAAAGTTAAGCCAAGTGAAAGAGATGACGAAAGACCATCTGATGATCAGTCTTCTTCATCTCTACCCTCCTCTTCCTCCTCCTCCTCCTATGGTGTTGAGGGTATTGTGAAAGAGGTAAAGGAGAGCAAAGACCTCATACAAGCTACCTCAGTTATAATTGCTGAGAAGCTTATTGCTGAAGTGGGAGAAATTACTTCCAGCAAGACACAAACTACAACCTCCGAGCATGTGTCCTCCGAAGAGTACAAGTCTGTCACTGCCATTACCGATAAGTCTAGTTCTATTAAGAAAGCTACAGTAGAATCTTCACAGGAAACCCATATTACAGATAGTCAGGAAATTAGTAGAACTGATTATCTAGTGCAGGAAAAAAAGGAAAAAACTGCTGACAAAGAAACTCTGGACAAAGATACAATCATCTCAAAAACACCTACAGAAGAGGATATATCTGAAAAATCCTCAGAATATGAAACAGTAACTACAAGAACTGTTAAGCGAACCATCGTCAGAGATGGAGAACCCATAGAGGCAGTTGAAACACATGAAGAACCTGTAACAGGTGAAACTGTAACAAGAACTATAATCAGAAGAATCATTGTCGACGGCGAAACAAAAGAGACTGTAGAAACGATTGAAGAACCCTCTGAGCCTGAAGCTGTAACTACAAGAACTGTTAGGCGAACCATCATTAGTGGTGAGGAACCAATGGAAACTGTTAAGACGGATGGAGAACCTTCAGAAGGTGAAACTGTCACAAGAACAATTGTGAGAAGAGTTTTCGTCGATGGAGAACCTCAAGAGACAGTTGAAACCCGTGAACCTTCAGAAGGTGAAACTGTCACAAGAACAATTGTGAGAAGAGTTTTCGTCGATGGAGAACCTCAAGAGACAGTTGAAACCCGTGAACCTTCAGAAGGTGAAACTGTCACAAGAACAATTGTGAGAAGAGTTATTGTCGATGGAGAACCTCAAGAGACAGTTGAAACCCGTGAACCTTCAGAAGGTGAAACTGTCACAAGAACAATTGTGAGAAGAGTTTTCGTCGATGGAGAACCTCAAGAGACAGTTGAAACCCGTGAACCTTCAGAAGGTGAAACTGTCACAAGAACAATTGTGAGAAGAGTTATTGTCGATGGAGAACCTCAAGAGACAGTTGAAACCCGTGAACCTTCAGAAGGTGAAACTGTCACAAGAACAATTGTGAGAAGAGTTATTGTCGATGGAGAACCTCAAGAGACAGTTGAAACCCGTGAACCTTCAGAAGGTGAAACTGTCACAAGAACAATTGTGAGAAGAGTTATTGTCGATGGAGAACCTCAAGAGACAGTTGAAACCCGTGAACCTTCGGAAGGCGAAACTGTCACAAGAACAATTGTGAGAAGAGTTATTGTCGATGGAGAACCTCAAGAGACAGTTGAAACCCGTGAACCTTCAGAAGGTGAAACTGTCACAAGAACAATTGTGAGAAGAGTTTTCAGCGATGGAGAACCTCAAGAGACAGTTGAAACTCATGAACCTTCAGAAGGTGAAACTGTCACAAGAACAATTGTGAGAAGAGTTTTCGTCGATGGAGAACCTCAAGAGACAGTTGAAACCCGTGAACCTTCAGAAGGTGAAACTGTCACAAGAACAATTGTGAGAAGAGTTATTGTCGATGGAGAACCTCAAGAGACAGTTGAAACCCGTGAACCTTCAGAAGGTGAAACTGTCACAAGAACAATTGTGAGAAGAGTTATTGTCGATGGAGAACCTCAAGAGACAGTTGAAACTCATGAACCTTCAGAAGGTGAAACTGTCACAAGAACAATTGTGAGAAGAGTTATTGTCGATGGAGAACCTCAAGAGACAGTTGAAACCCGTGAACCTTCAGAAGGTGAAACTGTCAAGAACAATTGTGAGAAGAGTTTGTCGATGGAGAACCTCAAGAGACAGTTGAAACCATGAACCTTCAGAAGGTGAAACTGTCACAAGAACTATTGTGAGAAGAGTTTTCGTCGATGGAGAACCTCAAGAGTTGAAACTGAACCTTCAGACTGTCACAAGAACAATTGTGAGAAGAGTTATTGTCGATGGAGAACCTCAAGAGACAGTTGAAACCCGTGAACCTTCAGAAGGTGAAACTGTCACAAGAACAATTGTGAGAAGAGTTATTGTCGATGGAGAACCTCAAGAGACAGTTGAAACCCGTGAACCTTCAGAAGGTGAAACTGTCACAAGAACAATTGTGAGAAGAGTTATTGTCGATGGAGAACCTCAAGAGACAGTTGAAACTCATGAACCTTCAGAAGGTGAAACTGTCACAAGAACTATTGTGAGAAGAGTTTTCGTCGATGGAGAACCTCAAGAGACAGTTGAAACCCGTGAACCTTCAGAAGGTGAAACTGTCACAAGAACAATTGTGAGAAGAGTTATTGTCGATGGAGAACCTCAAGAGACAGTTGAAACTCATGAACCTTCAGAAGGTGAAACTGTCACAAGCACAATTGTGAGAAGAGTTGTCGTCGATGGAGAACCTCAAGAGACAGTTGAAACCTGTGAACCTTCAGAAGGTGAAACTGTCACAAGAACAATTGTGAGAAGAGTTTTCGTCGATGGAGAACGTCAAGAGACAGTTGAAACTCATGAACCTTCAGAAGGTGAAACTGTCACAAGAACAATTGTGAGAAGAGTTTTCGTCGATGGAGAACCTCAAGAGACAGTTGAAACTCTTGAAGAACCTCCAGAAGGTGAAGCTGTCACAAGAACTATTATAAGAAGAGTTATTGTTGACGATGAACCAAAGGAAACGGTTGAAACTCAAGAAGAACCATCAACAGGTGAATCAGTAATAAGGAGAACAGTTGTCAGAAGAACCATCATTGATGGCGAGCCAAAAGAAACTGTTGAGACGATTGAAGAACCATCTGAAACTCAAACCCTAACTACAAGAACAATTAGGCGAACTATCGTCACTGATGGTGAACCCACAGAACCAGTTGAAGCATATGAAGAACCTACGGAAGGCGAGACCGTTACAAGAACAATTGTACGCAGGACGATCATTGACGGTGAACCAAAAGAAACCGTCGAGACTATTGAAGAACCTTCTGAATCTCGAACTTTAACTACACGAACTATTAGGCGAACTACCATTGGTGATGGTGAACCAAAAGAAACTGTGGAAACTAGTGAAGAACCTTCGGAATCACAAACTGTAACCCAAAGGACTGTCGTAAGAAAAACCACAGTAACTGGTGGTGAACCAAAGGAGTCTGTTGAAACATTTGAAGGAACCTCAGATGGTGTTGTTGTCACAAGAACCACTGTTAGGAGAACCATTGTAGATGGTGAGCCTAAAGAAACGACCGAGACCTTTGAAGAACCTGCTGACTCCGACAGTATGAAGACCACAACTACCACAACAGTGAAACGAACGATCATTGGTAGTGGTGACAAACTGGAGACAACAAAACTAAGTGAAGAATCTTCTGGCGATTCAGTAACTACAACAACCACAGTCAAACGAAGAATAATTAGCGGAGATGAACCTGTTGAAACACTTGAGACAAAAGAGGGACCAATAGACGAAGAGTCTCTCAAAACTGCCACCTCTGTAACCAAGTCATTTACCACTGCAGGGAAAGTAGAAGAGACAGAGAAAACTGTTTTATCAAAATCTACAGCAGAGATGATTCAAGAAGATCTCAGAAGCTCAAGGGAATCTGTTTCCACTGTTGATGAATCCACCGTTCATGAAGGGCCTCGTATGGGTGCTTTCAGGAAGTCTTCAACTAGTAGTACTGAGGGTACTCCTGGAAGTCCCAGGACGGGTCGTGTTGTGGTGAGAAAAGTCACGACAGTAATAACTAAGTACTACGATGATGGTGAAGAAGTTGAAATGGAAGAGTTGCCAGGTGAAGAAGTGGTTGAAGTGCTTGGTGATCAACAGGTTTCTGAAGACATCTTGCGCAAAATATCTGGTTCAGCCTCACAATCTCCGATCGCTGGCAGAAAAGTTTCAGGCCATGGTATCCCAGGAACTTCCATGACCTACACTACCTCACATTCATTGTGTGGACCCTGGACCAGTGACGAGTCCCTCAGTGGTGAGCCAACAGTTGTTACTCGTACCACTCGCACCACAATAGGTGACAGTGATACTGATGGATCAGAAGGAGTAGTGACCAGTACAGTCACCAGAGTAACGCGCCGCCTGATGAGTGATGACGCTTCAGACAAGGAGGAAAGACCTCGATCTGCCAGTAGCGATACTAGTGGTCAGGATCCTTTCCCACCATCACAAAAGACACAGTTTGAAACAATGGAAACTGCTGCAAGTAAAGTTCCAACCACTCAGTATGAAGCCTCTGGGGTACAATACCAGGAGGAGTATGATGATGAACCTGTTTATGAATATCACCCACCTGCAGGAGCACAACTCGAGCAGTTCATATATGGTGACCAAGGGGGAGACTTTGATAATGGAAACCTTCCATCCCGGGCAAGGGAACCTTCAGTAACTGAGGCTGAAGATAAGCTAAATAGGAATCAGACTTGGAAGACTTCTACAACATCCAGCACTGTGACCACTACAACTTCCTCAACAGCCAAAGAAGCCAAGGAGACCCTGCAACAGTGGGGTAAACCTCTTGGCCTCCCTTCACCAGTGCCTCTTCCTACCCCTCTTCCTCCCTCTGACAGCCCCAAATCGTTAAGCCCTCGTAAGGAACGAAGGACAAGCAGACGATCCAAGAGGGTAGTGCCACCAGTCTACTTAGACCTGGCATATGTGCCTCATGCTGCCAATCCCAACTACTCCAATGCAGACTTCTTCAAGAGAGTGAGAGCTCGATACTACGTCTTCTCTGGCATCGACCCCGGCAGGGAGGTGCTCGACGCTTTACTCGAAGCCAAAATGGAATGGGAAGATAAAGAAATGGGTGAGTAACGAATTCAATGATGTAAATCCTCTTCCACGTTGCAGATTAATTTCATTGTTTAGGACAGGAGAGTATGTGGTCTTCTTGTATCTTGTAACACAATAATATTACTCTTGTCATCACTATTAACATCGTCTTCCTCTGTGCTTTACCCAAACTACCTCTTGTAACAGTCTGACTCAATAACTCTCCCACTCGGTTAACTCTACCACATATCCAGGCATTACTTGCTTAAGTACTATCTATAGACACATTATACCATAACAATGGAACAAGGCTATAGCAGTGTGTTGAATATTTAATTTAATGGATAATTCTGAATGCTGACTTTGTGAACCCTATTTCAATGTGTAATACCTAATTTTTGAAAATCACCTTGATAATGCTCTCAGAGCTACTAAGTATACCTTAATCTTATGTTTGTTCACAGTAGTACACAGCTTATAGAAATGAATCGCAATTAAACACTTGAAAATGCATAACTTATATAATATGTGAGAAAAAGGTATGGTCAATTTTTTTTTTATCTTTGACCAAAAAAATTACAAATAACTGATGATGCACCTTCATCTTACTAATGTCTTTTCCGGTATTGCAGAGGTAACGATCATTCCCACCTACGACACCGACGCCCTGGGCTACTGGGTGGCTGCCAATGAAGATGCTCTTATCGCCAACAAGATTGACTTGGCTCCGTCTGCCTCTCGCTGCACCATCAATCTACAGGACCATGAAACAAGCTGCAACGCCTACCGTCTCGAATTTTGAGCGCCTCGACACTACCAATCATCAACTAACACTAACAGCTAAATCCATAGAACAACATCGATGCCTGTAAAATAATTCCAGAACTTTTAAGCTCGCAAGTAGCTTAGGAACATCATAGTGTAGCTCCAGAGTATCTGTTGTTAAAAGTAACTCCAGAATATTGACGCCCACAAGTAAGTCTGGAAGTTCGACGTCTACAAGTAAGTGCAGAATATCGACGTCGACAAGTAACTCTGGAAGAAAGACACTCACAAAGAAATCCGGAATATCGAAGCCTATATGTAACTTCTGGGATATCGACTCCCACATGTACCTAACTCCACATTATCGACGCCAACTTGTGACTCCTGGTTGTTGTGGTTCTGACCCTCAGCAACCACTTCCCCGCTGCCTTCCATGAGAACTTAGAGCTCTTACCAAGCCGTCTGAGTCCCCCCACCCTGATAGTCAGTCCTAAATTAGCCATCCAGAATATTTTCATTGACTGTCTCGTTGGTATCCCAATTTCCTGTGGGTTGCTGTGTTTAGATTCTACTGCAGTCAAGTAGACATTTTTGAAACATGTAGGTCCATGATGGTGGATTTTCTACATTTGCATTCATGAAGACGCGTATTAATTAAACGAGATTTTTTTTAAGTATTACTCGGAGTCTTGTCATTATGCCAATAGTAATATATTGATTATATCAATAGAAGCATAATTAGACAAACATTCTGTTAAATGAATATTACTGAACATTAGATGGCCTTGTGTTATATAATTATTACCATGAACTATGAGAGATAATTTCCCGGATTTTGACGATTCTGACCTGACCTCTTGAAAACCCGAATTCTACAAAACTTAACACTGAGAGTACTAAGAGTGCGGATATGTCTAAGAATATATTCATCGCCAGTCCATCTGTATTGTGACATAAATTGTAGATGAACACTCCTGCGACCGAATAGGGCTAAGCAATATGCATTTTAATATATTTCACTTCATAGAATTATTCTACTTATTCAGCGTGATAATGCTGCAGTCTTAGGTAGACCATGCTGCTGCTGCACACATGGCTAGAGGGAGATTGCTCATTTTGTAAAATAAAATGTTATGAAACTGTCCTTGACAGTGATCAGCTATATAGAATATAAGGCAAATACTAAAAAAAAAGAGTTAAAAATGTCTGTTATATGTATACTAGTAGTTTATAAACAGCCGGGTGATGAAAGCGAGCCTATTTTTCTTAGGTGAGGCTGAATGGTTAAAGTAGCAGTATCTTTATCTTCCACGAGATGAGTGTTTGGGAGTAAAGGAGTGAATGAGAAGCTAACCAAGTATAAATATATATCCTGGAACAAGTCTCTAACGTCCACACAGCCAATACTGATCAATTTGACACTTGGATTCACAATTTTTTGTAAGGTGGTTCACGTTGTGACTGACGTGATAACATGGACCTGCTTCATCAGTCATTAGTGATAATCTTGACTTAGGACGGTCGCGAGTGTTCTTGTACCGACAGTGTACTCCAAGCTTTTTCCGTATATGCTATACAGTGTAAGTGTTAAAGAAAGGTGTGAATGTCTTAAGTGATTTAATAAGTCAAAGTTAAATACGTCTCTTGCTTTTAGTATTACTTTGACTGTTGTTTAATTTGACGCCATCCGTTCTTTTCAACTAATGCGCATTCCATATAAAAAGAAAATCCAAAACAAAAGTGGGAGTGTAAAGTGAAGGCCGCCGGAGAGAGCGAGCTAAGCTCTCTTATAATGGTGCTACAACAGAAGGTCTTGCGAGCCACAAGTGCCATACACGATCTGTTACGAGGCGCTAGGTGCCACGGGGGTGGCACCGTGGCCCAGGAGTGCGTGTATGGCATTGGCTGTGCAAGAGTTTGAAAATGGTGATACGCCTTTCAAGGTCTGTTAGCTTCGTTAGGAAAATAAACCTCGGCCATGTAGAACCATGTTTAGGAGACATTACTAGGGCCTGAACACGACTTTTTAGTAAGTCCTTGTAACGACCCAGTAGTCACGGTCAAACTGCCAGCAATGCCTATTCGCGAGGAGTGATTAACTACTTAAAATAGATTTAAATGGATTATTCTATTCTCCCTGGGAGTGTCTCTAAAACTGCGGTTACAGCAATGTCACATCCTGCCCACATAAAACTTGAGGTGGCAAACTTCTCTCCTGGTTACCACAAATCTACGTGGCCTTCATTGCTTTGAGGAACGGCAGAAGAAGGTCAGGTATCTCTGTCCATACCTCATGATGGAGACTTATCACCTCTCATTTTCACGTGCGCCGAAGAGAGAAAAAAAAAATGGAGGTGTTGAGTTTGTGTGGTGGGGCGTTCAGTGACACACACACACTGTGGTGGCAGGAATGAGGTCATGCCAACACTCATCAAGGTTCAGATATTTCATGTGACTGCTTTAGGTGCTTATTGGCAAACCAGACGCCTTCTTGCCCCTAAGCTTATTGATTGGTAAACCAAAAAGCTTTTTATCCTTCGCTGAGTTATCGCAGAATTCTTGTCCGTTAATGGTCAATTTCCGGGTTGAGTTGCCACTGAGTATGATAAATTACATCGGCAAAATTATTACCCTTTTCCCTATATCCGTGTTAAAGAGAGCTTAGATAAATAATTGTATCTTGATCCCTTTGACACAATGTAAGTGTTCTTACAACTCGTCTGAGAACTTGCCTGTTTGTGAATGAGAAGGTTGGTATAACTGGGATACTTTTCATTATTTAATTATGATATTGTGCCCTAGGCTGATATCCTATATTAGAAGTTATCGAGCGCTGCGTCGCTCTTTTCAAATTTAATCTTTATAAAGGTTGAATGACATGTGATATGATAATCATATATATTTAAGCTGTTATATTACAAGAAGTGGTGGCACGGAACTAATGAAAGAGGACATTAAAAAAAATGCTAAAATTTGTACAGTGGCTTTTAGGCATTTCTGTCACAACCACCGCTGATCCAGTACCAGTTTTCTGTTAAAACCTCGAAGTGAAGAGCTTTCTGAAGACCCTTGAACGTCAGCATTCCGACCATATCTTTTTTGTCGCTATCAGCACTATGATTTTTGCATCACTCGGTATCACGGCCACTGCCTCTTCAAATAATTCATTGTTTCAGAGTCTTCAGCAAAGTTCTTAATATTCCTGATTTCCAGGCTTCATTATATTATATCCAGCCTGTGCACTTTGTCGTGTGTTAAAGAAAAAAAGTATATATAAATATATATCTATGACGATATGTGCGATAACTTTGGTAATTATTTTTCAGTGTTGACTTTCTCATGATAATGTAAAGGAAGTGAACCCTATTGAACGATTGCCAATAGTTGTTGTCGCTGGTGTCGTCTGGGGCCTTATTTTTGACAAGCTTTTACCCGAGTGGGCCAGCTGCACCGGCCTAGCAATCACCGGACTTTTGCTGGTAAAACGAGAGTGCTCAGAGCATCAGTTGATCCTTCAGTATCTTGGGATATTCACCTGATGAAACGAGCACCAAAGTTTATCACCAAGAGTCCTGCGCTGGCCAGACAGGTTCACTGACCCGCCCTGGCAAATCACTTTAGAAGTACGGCCCCATATGTAGTTTCCCGCTTATGCTTGTCGCTCCATGTCCCGCTATCTCTAGTCAAAGAAACTAGAAGTCTAGAAAAAAATCATGAACTCTGCTGACACCTATAACGTGACTTGTTTGGCTATTTTGGCCCTCATACAGTTCATTATGGTTCATTTTCGCTACTTTATAAATAGGAAAATAAACCCTATTGAACCTTTATTTTGGGTTCATAATTGCTGGCCTTGTCACTAATATTACGCATATGTATGGGATATCCTGTGACATTAAAAAGTAGAATAAAAATCATAAGTTGTTTTTTCTTTTCCAGTTTTTTTGTTCCCAATTTAACACAAAGAAACACACACACACACACACACATATATATATATATATATATATATATATATATATATATATATATATATATATATATATATATATATATATATATATATATATATATATATATATATATACATATACATATACATATACATATACATATACATATATATATATTTGTCAGTGCCTCAAGGTTAAAAATGCTTTGACAGCATTCGAGGTAGAAGGATAGATTATTAGTGGGTCTCATATTTTTGACCTGACTCAACATGGCTGGTTACACCCAGCAGAAGTCTGGTACACATGCCCAGTACACCTTATAAGACACGTGCACCCAAAAGAACTCTCGTACACATGCACCCAGACGACTTCTGGCACACGTGTGCTCTGACGTCCTCTGGTACACATGCACCAGGACATTTTCTGGTACACTTAAATCCTGGATGTCCTCTGGTACACATGCACCCGGACGTCCTCTGGTACACATGCACCTGGAAGAACTCTGGTACACATGCACCCAGACGTCCTCTGGTACACATGCACCTGGAAGAACTCTGGTACACATGCACCCAGACGTCCTCTGGTACACATGCACCTGGAAGAACTCTGTCACATGCACCCAGACGTCCTCTCTGGTACACATGCACCTGACGTCCTCTGGCACACATGCACCCAGACCTCCTGCGCACATGCACCTGGAAGAACTCTGGCACCCGGACGTCCTCTGTACATCCACACCCAGGACGTCCTCTGGTACACATGCACCCGGACGTCCTCTGGTACACATGCACCCAGACGTCCTCTGGTACACATGCACCTGGAAGAACTCTGGTACACATGCACCCAGACGTCCACTGGTACACATGCACCCAGACGTCCTCTGGTACACATGCACCCGGACGTCCTCTGGTACACATGCACCCGGACGTCCTCTGGTACACATGCACCCAGACGTCCACTGGTACACATGCACCCAGACGTCCTCTGGTACACATGCACCCGGACGTCCTCTGGTACACATGCACCTGGAAGAACTCTATCAATCACTTGCTTGACAATAATTACCTCCAGTTCCGAAATAATGAGAGATACAACTTAAGGCACCCAGAGCTACTAAGACCAGCCCCCATGCTCTCCTCTCAGTCCCAGACCTCCATAAAATATCACAGTGTGAAGGTGTGGAACAACTTACCCCCACCCATCCGAGCAAAGACTACGCTCCTTTCCTAAAAATCATCTCTAAAAAAATATCTATTGTCGAAGTATTAATATTTCTTGCAACACTTACTATATTTACAGTACCTGCTTTTATTGTACCATCAAATCCGTTTTATCGGAAATTATTATGTAAATAAATGAGTAATTACACAGGTTGTAGTACCATAAGGGCAACCAAACCTAGCAGTAACCTGGTGTCAATCATTACAATAAATATTTGTATAGTAACTTAATGTGTTGAATAAATAAAAAGAAAAACTTTTTTCTTTGTTTATAATAATCCTAACAAAATAGTTGAAAACAAAAGGGTTCCACAGGCAGAAATTTTAAGAGCCAATTTCTATACTTTCCCGAAAAGTAGAAAATTACGTCACCGAAAAGTAGATACTTACGATCTTTTGAGAATTAGAAAAATCCTAAGTTATTTTTTCTCTTAAGTTCGAAATTACGACAATTAAAAAGATCGTAAATTCGGATTCTCAAAAGATCGTAAGTATCTACTTTTCGGGAAAGTAGATTATATACTTTTCGGGAAAGTAGATTATCGACTTTTCGGGAAAGTAGATTATCGACTTTTCGGGGAAGTAGATTATCGACTTTTTCGTAAAATATTACCTAATTTTCTGAATTAGATTATCATAGAAAGCAGATTATCGACTTTCGGGAAGTAGATTTTCGAATTTTGGGGAAATATTACCTAATTTTGTGAAGTAGATTATCATAAAAACGGGAATTGTATCATAAAAATGGAAATATCTACTAAAGTTGTTATCACTTTCCGAAAAGTAGAAATCACTTTTCGGGAAAGTAGATTATCGACTTTTTCGGGAAGTAGATTGAATTTGGGGGAAATATTACCTAATTTTTGCGAGATTATCACAGAAAAAGGGAAATTTGTGTCATAAAAATGGGAAATATCTATCCGGAAAGTAGATTATCGACTTTTCGCGAAGTAGATTTTGAATTTGGAAATATTACCTAATTTTACGAAGTAGATTATCATAGAAAACGGAATTGTATCATAAAAATGAAATATCTACTTTCCGGGAAAGTTGTTATTCACTTCCGAAAGTAGACAGATTTTCACTCAGGAAAGTAGATTATCGACTTTTTCAGAGAAGTAGATTGAATTTTGCAGAAATATTACTAATTTTGCGAAGTAGATAATCATAGAAAACAGAAATTGTATCTAAAAATAGGAAATATCTACATTCGAAAGTTATTATCTACTTCCTGAAAAGTAGACAGATTTTCTACTCAGAAAGTAGATTATCGACTTTCAAAGTAGATCAAATTCGGAAATATTAACTAATTTTCAATAGATTATCATAAAAACATGAAATTTGTATCACAAAAACGAAATATCCACTTCCGAAAGATACCACTTTCCCAAAAAAACAACTACTTCTAGAAAGTAATTATCGACTTCTTAGATAGAATCTTGCAGAAAACACCTAAATTTAGCAAGTAGATTATCAAGAAAAGGAAACTGTAAAAAAAAATGGAAAATAACTACCGAAAAGGTTATCTACTTTCCTAAAAAGAAATAGATTTCTACTTTCGGTAAAAGATTATCGACTCGAAGCAGATTTTCGAATTTTGGAAATATTAATAACTTTGAAGTAGATTATCATAAAACGAAAACTGTATCACAAAAATGGGAAATATCTACTTTTCAAAGGAAAATTGGTTATCTACTTTCTGAAAATGAACAAAACCTACTTCTCGGAAAGTAGATTATCGACTTTTTTGAGGGAAGTAGATTTTCAATTTTGGAAATATTACTAACTTTGCAGTAGTTATCATAGAAACGGGAAATTTGTCAAAAAAATGAAATATCACCTTTCGGAAAAGTTTGGTTATCTACTTTCCCGAAAAATAGATAGATTTTCTACTTTTCGGTAAAGTAGATTATCGACTTTCAGGGGAAGTAGATTTTCAATTTTGGAAATATTACTAATTTTGCGAAGTAGATTATCATGAAAACGGAAAATTTGTGTCATAAAAAATGGAAATATCTGCTGGGAAAATTGGTTATGCACCACGTGAAAATCATCTACTTTTCGGAAAGTAGACCAACTTTCAGAGAGAAGTAGA